AGGACAACAATGCAGTTGGAGGACAAGAGATGGCTGTGAGCAAGAGAGAAGCTGCTGGACAGTTTGGCATGATGGCAGGAAAGAACATCTGTACTAGACGACAGCCACTACACATTAAAGTTTTAGTTGAATGAAATCAGGTAGTATATACTCCGCATGGGTAGAAAGTATTTGACAAACGCACTTAACCTCCATCAACTGGATCTATATATCTGGTCACGCCGACAAAAAAGGTATTGAGTGAGCAGACCAACCGGCAAACAAAGCATGCGGGAAGGAGAACTGAAAGAGCAGGAATAATCAATGCTGTATAGACTAGGCTAGCGAATAAAGAGAATCTCTGACACACACGTGTGTGTGACCGGGAAGTCTATCTATTGTCTTCTTCACTTTCACCGGGTTGCAGCCCAGGGTCGTGGTTTAAAATATTTGTTTTGTGCCTCTCGCGTGATTTGAGTGACAGTTTTCTGGATCTTCTGGCCGTATTCAGCTACTCCATCTATCCATTTTTTCCTGGGTCTTCCTCTGGCCTTTCTTCCCGATGTTCTATTGTAAAAGGCCTTATAGGCAATCTGATCCGGTTGCATTCTTACTAAATGACCAAACCACTTCATTCTCTGTTTTTCAATATGTTCCATGCATGCTCTTGTTCCAACTTTGTCTCTAATGCTGACGTTTGTGACTCTGTCTCTTCGTGTATTGTTGGTGACTCTTCAATCGCATTTCACACGTAGTTATTTTTTGCATATGTGATGTGTTCATTGTCCACGTTTGGCACTGATAACATAACATAGGGATGAAAATGCTGTTGATCATCCGTTGTTTGGCTGGTAACGAGATCTTTGGATGACGAAGAAATGGGAGACTTCATTACCAACTCCTCAAGGAGAGGAAACAATCAGTGGAGGTACTTCGGCGTGGCTGCTGCATTGAAGGATTGCGCATGCATGGGAATTCCCATGTGCAGTGATGATGACTGTGATAATAACAAAAGATGTCAACAGACATGATGACCAATGCCACATGGCTTGGACTATAACAAGAAAACCTCTAAAGTAATACCTCCAACAGCATAATGAAAGAGTGAGTTTGTTCTTTCTACTTCTAAAAACTCCAAGTGGCAATGTGATTTTATTTTTTTTTTATGTCACAATTCATTTACAATATCATTGATAATTTAACCGACTTAAAACAGTGTACAGGTTGACCCAGCTTAAAATGGGTACCAGGAAATATCCTGGGAAGCATAGGCGACTGGCCTTAAGTTAACTGGTCTAGCATCAAATGCCCGGTGACCAACTGGTGTAAATAAAAGGATCTTTTACTTGCTTAGTTTACTGGAACAATGCCAAACCAAACATTTTTCTTCTTCTTAGCATTCACTGGGTGTAAAACCTGGCAGAAAGTTTAGGTTGTTCATCCACTTCTGGATTCCAGTCCAGTTCCAGAACCTGAGGTTAACTTGCACATCAATTTTACAGATCTAACTCATGTGTACGCAGACTGTTGGTTCCTTGCCTCTCAGGCAGATGCACTGTGACTTTAAAAGAAGCTCCCAATTAGTTGACTCTGATGACATGCTTCTGGATAGGCAGCTGGACTATTCTTGTTTTCCCCATATTGGGACCCCAGAACCCACACGAGAAAAACCACAAAAACATTAAAAATTCCATTCATTAGTTTTATTTTTGTATTCACTCCCACCCTCTGCTACCAGTGCCAGACATGGAAACTCACAATAAAACAGAAAAGAAAATTAGTAATCACTGAATTGAAATGTCTGAAGAAGGATGCAGGAGTGACCAGAGGAGATAAAGTCAGAAACAAGGTCATAAGAGAAAACGTCGACATAGAACACATTTTAAATTACATACAAAAACAGTAAATCTAATGGTTTGCCCACTTATAGAGAATGTCATGTGACACCATACCATACAAGGCATACACTAAAAAAGAAGAAGGACTTAGTGCACAAACAAGATGGAAAGATAACATCACAGACACTCTACAACAAGCACAATGTGTCTATGGTCGAGGCAGCCAGAAGAGCATGAAGCAGAACCTTATATTATATCTTTCTCAACACCTGAGGCAGTAAAAGAGAAGGTGAAGAAGAAGTTATACTTCCTTTTGCTACATTACCCACTCTTATCAGAGCACACTTTGTATGGCTACGGCATTCACTTGAAGTATCCAGCGGATCTGACTGTTTGTGACTGGAATCACTGGTATAAGGGGTTGAGCAATTATGGGCCAAGCTTGTTTGCTGTGATGCCGGAACTGGAACCGTAATGACTAACTAACAAATTAAACCGTCAAATTCACACTTTCCTCCTCACACTCATAATGCACTTCAAGTTTCCATTCCCTTGCTAACCCATCATGCAAGTATTACAGTACATAATTCAAATGTAGCTCATTCAGTCTGTCTTCTCATGACACATTCAAATATCACAACAATGTGAAATTATAACAAGTTATAAATTTGGCTGAGAATAAGTTTTTTCAGCCATTTTAAATGGTGCTTATTCTGAAATTTAATCTAATTTCAAATTATTTGTTCCTAGGCAAAAATTTCTTTCTTTGCTTTTTATCTTTCGTTCTTGTCTTCTTTCTACCTTTGTCTGCTATCAGGAAAATAACAGAAATCGCTGAGTTAAATTCCTGTATGGATTCCTGAGTACTATTGGGGGGGGAGAATAAATACATTCACTGCCCCTCACCCCAAACAAGCATGTCTTGAAAGGTGACTAATTAGTTTGCTGAAATCAAATGTATCTGCAAAAAGATGCAGATACCACAGTCTAGCTGTAAACCACAGTAAAATGTGCAAACTGTCCTTTGAGGGCAAATGCACAAGAGAAATCTGAGTATATCTCTGACAGATAACTATCTTTTGTTTTACCAGAAATTTCACCCCAAAGCCTCCTGACTGTGAGGTAGATATTCTAACCACTAAACCAGGGCTATTTAACTAAGTTTACTCTAGGGCCAAAATGTTGAAATTGGGGATCGTCGTGGGCTAGGGGGCCTAGTCCCAGCACAGACAGATTATTAATACAATATAACAGTCAGTGGTCTGCAGGCTACTTGCTTGGCCTCCGCTGGCCAAAGTTGGCCTGTGGGTTACCAGTTGTATAGCCCTGCACTAGACTATTCACCATACATCAACAATTTAAACAGAGATTACTTACTGTTCAGCAACATTTTCAAATAATGCTCATCCTATGTGGTAATTGATTTTAAAATTTTACTTATGTCTGGTTTCCCTGTATTTTCAGTTTGTTAGTTGTGCATCCCCCACAGAACCTTACAGACCACACTAAATCCCCCCCCCCCCCCCCCCCCCACTGACTGTTTGTAGTTTTTCACTACATAATTTTATGTCTAGTATTTCGCCTTTTTTGCCACCAAGGAACGTCTGGCCAAATGGTTCAGAGTGCTAGGCTCTTATGCGGGACACCCAGATTTGAATCCCCTGCAAGATCATGTATTTTCTTCTGTCAGGAGCAGAAATAATATACTAACCTGCACAGTCTATGATGACTGCACTGGCCTAAATCCCGAGACTCAAAGACTTCCTCTGCCTACACAGCAAAAGTGGTAAACACAGATAGTAATGGCAGTTTTTTGCTGTTGTTTTTCTGCAGTTTGCCATTTATTCTCGGACAGTTCGCACTCCAGACCACTGTCAAAATCACAGTATTTTCAACCCTTGCTAATTCAAAGTTTACAAACAAATTTCAAATGGCGACCACACATTTTTTTTTAAATATGGTGAATATTATTTTGATGTCTGAAATGTCAACTCCCAGTCTCTGTGAAATGTTCAGATGTTGCTGATTCCCAGTTTGTCAACTTGTTCCATCACTGCCTGGAGATTGGAATCAAACAGTTCCGCCCTAAAAGACAGACAGAAAACACAATTTAAGCGAGACAACTTCAATTACTGGCCACATTCTACAACGAAAGCCTACAAACCAATAAGGGCTGCTGTATACTGCAATGATAAAAAAATTTTTTTTTTTTAATTTAAGTTTTCATCTGGCCTTGAGGCAGTAAGTCTAGAAGCAGATTCAATGATAGCCAATGTCGCGTGCGAATGTGCACCAGAACGCACCAGTACGGAGTGAGCAAATAAGACATCAAAACAATACGTAACGTTGTGAAGGTATTGTTGTCAAAGGCAGTCGATGTTTATAGTCCGAAGGAGACGGACGTGTGGATCCCTGAGGACACTTTACCCCGGGATCCCACGGAAGCAAACGTTATATGAAGTTGGATCCTTGAGGACGTTTTACCCCGGGATTCCAAGATAGACCTCAGCAGGAAGCTGGTGAACGTTACATTCTCGGCAGTAAGCCGGTATACTTTCATTGCTTAATTCGGACTCGTCCGAGGACAAAGATAATCGTCTGGATCTCAAGGTCGGACTGCGACCTATCGTGAGGACATATCAATACATGGATGTACGAGCGAGCTTTGGTTGAACGAGTTGATTATAACTTACATATGTATTCTTCTTGTGTTGATCATCGTTATTGTCAATACACAAATGGAACTTTTAAAGAGAGTTTTCGTTCCGCTACGTTGGAAGCTTCAGCATTCATTATGTTGTGTTATTCTTGGCCAGTGGTATGTTAAGTGTTGATGCCAATTGTTACATTGCGACACCCCTAGTCACTTTTACACTCGTTACAATGAAGCTCCGCACGTCACAATGTCACATCACCACGCAGCCTTTTCCGCACGCCACAGCCAATACGTGAGAATTTCACTGTGTTATCCATTCACATACCTTCTTCTTCTTTGTGTTTCCAGGCTGTAAACTCCAGCGGAAAGTTCTAGTTGTTCGTCCACCCCTAGACTTTAGTCTTGCCCCAGAACCTCAGTGTTGCCTGCACATCTATTTCACAGATCTAACATATCTGTATGCAAACTGTTGGTTCTTTGCTTCTCGGGCAGATGCACTCCGACTTTGAAGGAAACCCCCCAGTTAGTCAACTTTTTTTTACATGCTTGCTAGGGAGGCAGCGGGTTTACTCTTGTTTTTCCCCATACTGGGGCCCGGAACCCAAAAGAATGGGTTCACAGATGAAATCACTGATCTAATTATCATTTCTATGATCACGAAACATCTGCACAGACGTGAAGTTCTAGTACTGATCTTGCACATCTAATTATTTTATGAGTTTGGAGATGAGAAGGAAGGTACTGTATCACAGTCCCCAAGGAGATGTTACTTAAGTACCAGGTCAGGAGGAAAGCCTTTATGCCAGGGTAATTCAATTAAGTGTACTCAGGGGCCAGAATGTGGGGAAAGTCACGGGCATGAGGCCTCAGCCCCAGCACAGATAGATCATTAATACAACTGGCAGGTGATCCATGGGCCACTTGCTAGGTCTCTGTGGACCAGACTTGGGCCGCCAGTTGAATAGCCCTGCCCCATGCCAACCTCCTAGACCGGCAGTTCTCAAGCTATGAGTCGCGACATTTTTTTTGGGGTCAAACCAGCCTTTCACAGGGGTCGCCAAAGACCATCGCAAAACAAATATTCATTGAAGTTACAAAGTAGCAACGAAAATAATTGTATGGTTGGGGGTCACCACAAAACGAGGAACTGTAATAAAGGGTTGCCGCATTAGGAAGGTTAAAAACCACTGTCCTAGACAGATGCAAGCCCATTTTAGGAGATTACCTGCAATTTAACTTTAACAGAGACCCGCTAAAAAACTTAGTGTGGTAAATGCCTCCTCTAGTATGTCTTTTAACAGCTGTCCACACTGCTTAAGAACTTTCTGGTTTTGCGGCTTCTCGGTGCAAAAACACTAAAATTAACAAGTAAACAACAGATAGCATGCAAACAATTGTTACCTAATTGGCATATCAAGGGAGTAAAATGGATTCTTCAGAGCATAGTCAGCATAAACTTCGTATAGTTTCTTCAGTACTGCGTCAATGTTGGCCTGTTTGGGGTCAGCTATGATGACAAACTTGACTCCTGCATGGAGGGAACAAACATATAGGTCATACAGCTATTTACTCAGACGCATGCGAACTTGATTAATCAAGATTAAAGACGTTCCCCTGTGGGTTCCAGTATAAACAAAACACAACAACAAAAAAGAATAAACCCACTGCTCCTTAACAATATATATAAAGAACTCCCAACGTGGATTCCAGGGCCCCATTGTGGGGAAAACAAGAATAGACCCACTGCCTCCCCAACAGGCATGTTGTAAGAGTCGACTAACGGTTTCCTTCAAGGTCAGAGTGCACCTGCCTGAGAGACAAGGAACCAACAGTCTGCATACAGATAAGTTAGATTTATAAAACAGATGTGCATACAACACTCAGGTTCTGGAAGAAGTCGAAGGTCCATAGGCTGGTGAAAAAAAATAGAATTTTCGGCCAGTGAACACGAAGAAGAAGATATAAAGAGTAAATAGACTCATATATCTATATATCGCCTGCGGATCCAAAGACCATGGGTTCAAATTCCCCACGGTCAACCCAGCCTTGAACAGGTATCAGATTAAGTTATGGAAAGTAAAAGCATTATGTTAATGTTGACCACATCTACTGGTCTATAAAAAGGAGTAGCCTCGTATGCGCGACGCATGACTGGTGTGTGAAGGATCTTTACTTTCTCTACTACTCTTTAAAAGTGAAAACAGTCAACTCGCTAACAATAAAAACTACAGTAGTCTACTTTCACCTGTCATGGTCTGGTGACAATGTAACTTGAAGGTGTCTGTCTCCAGGGCTTGAATCCCTGAAGTCTGTGGTTCAGGGGACAACTGAGATCCAATAGCAAACAGGCTGAAAATAGTTCACGTTAAACATAACACATAGCCAGCTTGTTTACAATCTCACTTCATATGGGAACCATGTAAGAGGAGGAGGATGAGGAGGAAGAAGAAGAAGAAGGAAAGACAGAAAGAAAGAAAGAAAAAAAATTTTTTTTTTTGGAAGGGTCAAAAACTGGTCACACAGGCTTATCTTACATATGGCACTTCCAGACACTCATCTTTCAAACAGCAATTTTATTTATCTACAAAACATGCTAAGTAAAGAAAAGAATCTTTTTCCGCGCACTTAGGCGTATTGAACATATAGTGCTAGACCCACATTTTTAAACCAACTGGCACGTGGTGGGTGATGTGGTCAATATCACGCTGGCTGACTTTACTTTTCAGGACTTTACCTGGTACCCTTTTAAGGCTGGGTCGACCTGGTAGCCAAGGCCATTTCTATAAAAAAAAATCACTTCTATTCAGATTTGAACCCATGATCTTTAGATCCACAAATAAACATTTAACCGTTACACATTAGCAGCTTCCAAAGCATGCTTTGTTTCTATAACAATATACATAATATGAATATCAAGTTTTAAAAAAACCCACTGCATTCAAGAAGAAGACGAGTAAGGAGGAGATAAGAGCTTGCAGCCATATATAAGAGGGCCAATAAAGTTCTTAAAGCGAATCTGGGCATATAAAACCTGCTCATATCGTTAGAGACTAGCCGGCACTAGGTGAATGAAGTGGTCAGTATCAATCTAGCTGGCCTTTTCTTTTTCTATAAAAAAGGTGCTAGTCCTCACCACACACACACACACACACACAAAATTATGCCTAATAGGTGCTAGTACTGTGTACCATTTTTAGGGCCGCGTTAGCGCAGTCGACAGAAGACTAGCTTTTAAATCCAGCTGCGACTCACTGCAGCCCACGGCTGGTGTTCGAAACCGGGCGGTTCCTGGGGAATACTCAGCCTCTAGGTAATGGGTACCAGAGTTAGCACTCTGGGGTAAATGGAGAAACATTGCTGTAGCTACGGAGTTGCGTGCGTATGGCGACACAGGCGGAAAGTTTCTTATCAGCTGTCCGTACTGGTGGCAGAGATCTTATGGTTTATAACAGTGTGCAATGACGCTGGTTCACATCTCCTGACTTTACCTTTTTACTGTGTACCGCCAGAGGAAAAGCCTTGATTTTAGCCACTTCTAGCTCTCAAGACATTTACTGGCATCAATTATAAGCTGCTGTGACCTTATTCACTTCTCTTCCTAAGTTCCAGATCTTTTTTCCTATCTAAATGTCATGCAGAAGAAAAAAAATATAGTACATCCCAACAGTGATGACTAAAGCTCCCATGCTCCACAAGGTATGTATAAGATTAATGAAAGAATAACTGTACTTACGAGTGCAGCATGCTAGCCAGCATGATTCTTTCATTGACTGTTAAGTTCGGTTTGCCAAATTTAATGTTTATCGGATAGTTTTCCTCATTTGCCAGGATTTCCATGATGTCCCGTTTATCTTGCAGGAGTCGACCTTCTGCTGGAATTCCATTGATCCCAAGGACGGCATGACCGACTATAACATAATTGAAATACAACAGACTTACAACATGTTTTAAATCAATGTTGTAATTTACATATAACTGTTGAAATATGCAAAGTGGTCTGCAGCCAAACCCCCCACAACAGGGATAAAACCTGGCATCTCAGAACTGCAAAAGCTCATTTTCAACGTCGAAGCTGTAGACAGCAACAGCAAACACTACCCCAAAAACAAACATTTCTTCTAGACTAGAGAATTATCAATGTTAATATTAATGGCCTTCCAAGTGTTTCTTAATCCAAGATCACATAACTGGATAACATTCGCGACTGAATGGATTTTAAACACGCATTGTAATCACATAAAAACTAAAGGACTAGTTAGCTGGCACGAACAGTGCACGGCGATATAAGGTTGCCAAGGTATTTATTGCAAAACGGGAATTCAGTTTTTGGACGCAATTTGATTTTTAAAGCACTAAAAAGTATTTTTTTTTTTTTACTTCTATGTTCCAATTAATATCTCAGCTCAGAACTGAGGTACAGACTTAAATGATTGCACTTTTTGGCTATCTTCCGAATAACGGTCCCAAATTATCGAGGCAGAAAATATACCCTAATAGGGCCTCAGTCATGTGTCAATTGCACTCTTCCAGGGACTATACCACCACCGCCGAATTGCAAATTTCTGGGGATTTCCACCACCGCCGAGAGTAGCCCCAATGCCGCTCACGCGGCGTGGATTGGGGCTAAACTAGATGGCTAGGACTCACAAGCAAATAAAATGAAGGCAGCTGTAGGAAATGCGGTGCGGTAGCTACTGCTCATGAGTCCTAGCCATCTAGTTTAGCCCCATTCCACCCACCTGAGCGGCGTGGGGGGAGAGGGGGGCTACCCTCGGCGGTGGCAGAAGTCTCCGGAAATTTGCAATTCGGCGGTGGCGGCATAGTCTCCAGAAGTGCGCAATTTTATTCCCCGGAAGTGAGCAATTGACACGTGACTGAGGCCCTGTTAGGGTATATTTTCTGCCTCGATAATTTAGGACCGTTTTTTGGAAGATAGTCCACTTTTTAAGACCTATTCAATGAATAATTCAGATATTAACATATTAGATTTCATGGCTCTTCTTTCAAAACAGGCCGGTAGCTGGAAAGCCGCTGATCGGCTTAGTGGGAGTTCTCTCCCTTGGCTGCACTGCAAACACGGAGCGGAACAGTCACGAATCAAATGACATACCTACCTATCATCAAACGGTTGCGTGTACGGTCGCGTAGTCATCATATGGTTGCGTAGGGTGTAGGGTTTGAGTTAGGGTTAGGAATAGGGTTAGCGGCGTTAGGGTTAGGATTAGGGTTAGGGTTAGATGTGACAATTTTGACGTAGGTGTTCCAAATAATGGCTGACAATCTGATGCTTGTGGGAGTGGCGCCACTGGAATTCTCCCAAATATGACGGCATTAGTGCGCGGCTGGTGCCCAATCGGTGGTGAATAGTCCGTTTGAGTAGCATCCACAGTCCGTCGATTGTTTGGGTGTGTATGTGACTGTGTGAGATTATTCGGAACTCCTGCGTCAAAATTGTCACATCTAGCCCTAACCCTAAGCCTACCCCTAACCACGCAAATTTATCGGTCAGTGAGTCATTCAGATCTGCAGGAGTCACATCCCTGGCAACTAATACTACATTTATATATATAGGGATATATTTACTTTAAAAAAAACCCAGATTTCCCCGAAGCGTCAAATAAACACCCAGATCTGAGGGACACACCCAAGCATTGGCAGCCCTGTTGACGACCTCACTGTCTTTTTTTATTCGTGACTTTTCCGCTCAGTGTTTGCAGTGCAGCCAAGGGAGAGAACTCCCACTAAGCCGATCGGCGGCTTTCCAGCTACCGGCCTGAAAGAAGAGCCGGTTTCATTAAAGTGCCTCTCTGTGTGGGTTCCGGGGCCCTATTATAGGGAAAACAAGAACAGACCCCCTGCCTATCCATAAGCATGTCGTAAGAGTCGACTAATTGGGAGCTTTCTTCAAAGTCGGAGTGCATTTGCCTGAGAGGCAAGGAACCACCAGCAGTCTGCAAACAAATGAGTCAGATCGGATGCACACGCAACACTCAGGATCTGAAACACTTGAAACAGGACTGCAGTCTAGAAGTGGACGAACAAATAGAACTTTCCGCCGGAGTTTACAGCTGGTGTAAGTGAATGCGAAGAATAAAAAGATTGAAAGTCAAAGTACCTAGCACCTACGTCTTACGTTAAGTTCTAGTAGTAGTAGACTATACTAGGGACCACAGTTTCGGAAATTTGCTATCTTTTCGACAATTTCCGTTACCATAGAAACCGTTTAAAACTTGTTTCGGAAATGTCGGCTGGGGTTTCGGGATGGGTCCTAATCTCTCATGAAATTTTGCCATTGGTGTGATTTTCACCCACTCTAAATAGCTGAAAACGGCGGGAAGGAACTCGATTAACAGCGCATGTCTACGACAGCCGGACATTCTCTGTTTTTCTGTTAGTCTATCAGTTTGATTGAAAATAGCGGTAAATTCGAGGTTGGCTTTAGGCTTAAACATTACCAGTTGTGGTAATGCTAGTTACAATTGAATTCTCCGTCCAATTTTACATTTGCATATTAAATTTTGTTTCCCGACTCTGGCTGTTTAGATTTACAGTGACATTTTTTAGGCAATCGCATGCGGCTGAGTGAGCTGAGTCTCACTGCCTGCCATCTTGTCCAATGACAGTCCAATGTCAACAAAGCCGATACAGAACTGCGCAGTAGGTTGCGCAGTAAAAAACTTCTTGTTTCTGGGTCACAAGTTTTAGCGGCTTTTTCTTACATCTCATCTCCACAAAAACCTACATATCTCAGCTCAGAAATGACTTACAAGCCTAAATGAGGTACCATTGGAAAGAGATTGTTTACAGCTATCTAACTGTGCTGGTTTTATTGGTGTAGAGGGCATTTTAAAAATTTGACTGAAGTAGCTAGACTATACTATAGTTTAATTTAGTTAGTACAGTTTAAAAACAAAAACACAGCAAACCTTTGATTCCATCGCGCTCTCCAAAAGCCACTACAACTTTCTCGTCAAACACTTTCAGCACAAGCTCGAGTGGATAACTGAAGGTCTTCTCTACCGCCGGTCGGGATAGATTTGGGGAATCGTAATGGTAGATCAAGCTGCCGGCCTTATTGATAATATAAACACTGTAGATCGTCATTTTGTGATGTTTGCGGAAGTAGTTTTCTGTCAACTTTTCTTGGCTTTCTCTATAGAAGAGTGTTGTTTCCTATCTATCTATTTATCTATCTATCTATCTATCTATCTATCTATCTATCTATCTATCTATCTATCTATCTATCTATCTATCTATCTATCTATCTATCTATCTATCTATCTATCTATCTATCTATCTATCTATCTATCTATCTATCTATCTTCTTTCGTTCGCATGAAATAAATTTTCTATATCTGCAATGCTGTCTCTAGTATGAATTTCACTGTCTTTTGTAATTCACTAAGCGGCCCGTAAAGTCTGACTTCCACAAGTGTCTCTTTTGGCCAAAGGTTTTGCATGAAAGCGTTGAATCTGTGTCAGTCTTGAAGGTTGGGATCTGTTGTTTCAGGTGCCAGTCCACAAGTACACATGACTGATTGGCCAATCTTAAATTTGTTGTACATGTGGCAGCGAAGTCGATTGTGCCCTGTTCTAAGGCGAAGGATAATGACTTGCTCTGGTCTGTCCATAATATGGTAATCGTCTTGTGCCAGTTTCGGTGGCATTCTGACTGATTTGATCATTCTCTTCTTCTGTTGATAAGAGACTGGTATGTCAGGTTGTTCTTCAGTTGCACCTTCCTTAGCTAGTTTATCAGCTCTTTCGTTTCCAGGAACTCCACAGTGGAAAGGTATCCACTGCATTACTAAATTACAACGGTTGCCTAGTTCGGATAATAGTGTTCGTATGCTTGGTAATTTTCCAGACTGGAGTGACTGAAGTACCGCTTTTGCATCTGTCAGGAATACTACTGGTTGTGAAAAATACCCTGTATTTAGTAGTTTCTCTGCCGCTATCTTGATGGCTTGAACTTCTGCATCATAGTTGTGACAGTGCTTTCCTGTTGGTATTTTGGCTGTATCCCTGGTATTATTAGGATACTCAATGTACACTCCTGCACCTCCGTTTCTGACTGCACTTTCTGCTGACCAATCGATGTAAACACGGACCCAAAGATTATGTGGGTATTCATCATCAAGTAGACTGAGGGTGGCTGTTTTGCGCTGCACACTGTTTTGTTCTTCCTTGTCAAATACCCCTTTCACTTCAGTCTTGATGTGTATTGGAAACTTATACTCCTCTCTCCAGGGGATCCGTTCTGGGACAGCATTTAAGGATCTATCAGTTGCAGGCAAATCAGTGATTTGTCTGCCGAGCCGTTTGGCCAGGTGGATAAAACTACTTCTCTTTAGTCGTCCCAAAGCTAAATTTTTGAATCTTTAATTCATGGGGTGACTGGGCATACTAAGAAACTTTTCTGCTTGTAAAAGCATCTTGGTGTCTCTGCGTTCACTCAGTGCTTGGGTCATCCCCATTTTCTCCATCACAGCTATAGGTGTTGATTTCATACTGCTTGTAGTAACTCTGAGTGCTTGATTTTTCACTTTGTCTAATTCTTGAATTGTGGTTTTTGATGCCGAACTGCATGCTGTTGATCCCTATTCAAGATGTGGTCGAACACTTTGTTGGTAAACTTTCCCGCTAGCACCCTATGTGGTTCCACTTAGTTTTCTCAGAATGGCTACCCTCCTTCTGGCTTTGGTTGCTGCCCTGTTGATGTGTTTTCTCCATGTTAACCTATCATCAAACGTTACTCCTAGGTATGTTGGCTCCTTATCCTCTCTCAGGGGTACTCCATTTATGTGTATGACGCATGATTTTTGTTTAGGAGAAAGGGTAAAGAGGGTGGTGCTGCATTTGCCTATGCTGATGCTGACACACCATTTGTCGGCCCATTCAGCAATTGCATCTATGGCTCTTTGTAGCAGTCTGGTAGACACTGTTGCATGTTCATTTGTACACCAGAGTACCAAGTCATCAGCATACATTGCAGCTTTAATTCCATGGGGTAGTTCAGAAAGCAGGTCATTGATATATACTCTTTCTATCTATATGCCAGTCTATCAGCTCTCTCTCATTACCAGCAACACCTGCATTGCCTGGGACGAATATGAAAGTAACTGCACACAGAGGAGAAAATGTGTCTATTATCTGTACGTCTGTTTGTCTGCGGTGTGTAAACAGTAATTTTTAAATATAAACTCCCCACACAACTTTACTAGATCTTGTGTGAATAAGAAACATTCTTTACCGGGACACTCTCGTGACTGTTCACATTGTAAATTCTAGTGACGCCTTCACAAACAAGTATAATATAATAACGACTAAACATTTTAATATATTGAAAATGTAATGTACATACAAATGCGTTACGAGAAAACTGTACAGTTGGGGGCGGGGGGGGGGGGGTTGCTTGGCAACCTTGTGAATTTTCCATTACTGGCAGGATTGGTTATGATAGGTGAAAAAAGGGGGGGGGGGGGTTGCAAGGTTTCCAAACCCTAAACTTTGTGAACAATTCCCCATGGGAACGCGTACAGTGCCACCCCTCCCCCCCCCCCTTTTTTTTCTCCTCAAAAGACGCACCCAGAAGTCATAAGAATTAAGTTGTTCTACTGACCAAATAGCCTCTGGTGATAAATGGAAGCAACAACATCTAACAACCATAAATGAAGAATGTAAAACAAATAATATGAGAATCAACACTGAAAAGACAGAAGCAATGGTCAATAGGAAAAAAAGAAGACAGATCTAAACATAGCAATAGAGTGCAAAGGCATTAAACAGGCATCTGAGTTAAAATATCTGGGAACTACATTTACCGAAGATGGGAAATTGGATAAGGAAATTAACATTAGATGCAGTAAAGCAAACCAAGTATTGGGAAAGCTAGCACCCCTCTAACAGCATAAGACAATCCCAATCAGCACAAAGAGACATCTTATTCAAAGCATATTTATTCCAACTCTGTGCTACCAGTGCCAGACATGGTCACTCACAACAAACCATAAAAGAAAGTTAGTAACCATGGAAATGAGATGTCTGAGAAGGGCTGTAGGAGTGACCATAAGAGATAAGATCAGGAATGAGATCATAAGAGAAAAAGTCGGCACAGAACCAATTCTAAATTACATGCAAAGACAGCAAGTGAAATGGTTTGCCCACTTAGAGAGAATGCCTTGTGACACCATACCATACAAAGCATACATGGAAAGAGAAGAAGGACGTAGAGCACGAGGTAGACCAAGATGGAAGGATAACATCAGAGAAACTCTACAACAGCACGATGTGCTTAAGGTCGAGGCGGCAAGAAGAGCTAGAGACAGAACCTTATATCTCCCTCGACACCCACAGCGGTAGGAGAGGAAGTGAAGAAGAAAAAGAAGAAGATAAATGGATTAAAATGTCGTCAAACAAAACAGCCTTCTTCAGAGTGATAGTTACATTGGACCGAGGGTGTCGGGAATGGATTGCTGGCGAAACAGAGACAGCGGTGCAAGAGCTGATCAATGAACATTCACGACCAGATGACATCATGACATGCACAAATGGTTCTGTACTGCGAAGAGGAGTAGGTGGAGTTTGATTGCGAAGATGAATAGACACTTCATTTGAAAACAGCGAGCCTTGCGTATAGCGTAAAAACATCAAATACGAGAATGGAGGTGGAGGCAGTATCGTCAACATTTTCGAGGGTTTGAGAGCAACACGGACTCCGCATGTTATAACTGTAAAGGATTCACAGAGCGTGCTTCGAAAAATTGAATGTGTCATCCTGCGCACAGAGTGGCTTCAATCGATCGGTCAGTCAGGTGCCTCTACCTGTTTAAAAATGTTTTCTGTATATAAGAATGGCTTGTATCATTTTATAAGACTCAGCTCAGGAGCATTTCATGGATACCCCCCCCCCCCATGATATTCGGTTGTGCGGGGTAGTGAGCAGGCTTACTGGATTGGCTGCTGCTCCTCTGGGTGGTGATCTACTTTTGATAAAGCAGACGCTCTCAAATGGATAATGCAATAGAACAAACCGAGAATCCTTATATTGAAAGACTTAATCAACCGGTGGAGGGGGAAGGGGGTGAGTAGAATATCTGGAAGATATTCAACACAGGGGGAAACAGGCGGACTTTTAGTTAGGTTGCAACTGGTACTTATTAGAAAAAAGGAGGTGACGGCGCACTTGTGGGAATGTTCAGAGCGTAATGGTGTCAATTCCTGATTCCTTCATTCATCACAGCTGCTGTCCTTGGTATCGAAACTCTTCTCTGGACCATGAAGATAAGGAATTTTGGCGCTCCTTTGAATCATTCCCCAAAATGGCGGCATGCCATATTCTGGCCATAAAATATCCAAAAATATCCGAACGACGGTGTTTGCGTATATCTAAAATACGGACTTTCTGCCAAGGAACAAATCGCGGCAAAACAAGGATCATCTGACAATCAATATCAACATTTGCACACGGTACTAGTAGCAGACGATAAATACCGACCATTGACAACAATTTCGAGCGTTTCTGCAGACGATACTAGCAGACGATATTAGCGGCCGTTGACCAATTTCGAGACATTACAGACGATGAAAGCCGATTAGCAATACTGTGTTCTTCCGATTGGAGGATTTAGCAGCGGTAGATGTCAGACTTGTCGGCATGCGCCAAATGCGATTAAACTCATCACCTAGCGTATCCTGCGCGCCGCTACGCGCGGCGCGGATGGGGGCTAAACTAGGTGCCTGGGACTCACGAGTACAGTAATTGGAGGAAGTTGCAGGAGATGCGGCAGCTGCCGCTCGTGAGTCCCAGCCATCTAGTTTAGCCCCTATCCGCGCCGCGTGTAGCGGCGCGGGATATACCCTCGGCGGTGAGGCACACTCGCAGAAGCAGGTCGGCAAGTAACGTATATTGCCGAGACCCTGTCAGAGCATTTGTTTCGTTATCCGGAGCCGACACATATATTTTTAATAGAACTGACCCGCATTCGGATATTTTTGGATATTTTATGGCCAGAAATTGGCCAATTTAGCTCTCTTTCGAACGCCATCATATTAAAGCCGCCATTTTGGGGAACGATTCAAAGGAGAGCCGTAATTTTTTTTTAGGATAACCCTTAATTATGTGTTTAAAAATTATAATTTTCTACAACCCCCCCCCCCCCCCCCCCCCCCCCTTTTCAAAAAAATGTCGGATTATCAAAAGTGTCTTTTACAGTAGTGCTGAAAATAAGGTGTCTAACAAAAAATGCTGCGTACCGGCAGAAAACAATCCCAGGTAAGAAGTAGACAGCGATACAAGTGGGAGGATATTATGAGGTGGTTGGCGAACAGCAGTTTATCAGAAAGTGCAGCTTTGATCATACTCATCAAGCATTGGCGATTCAATGCAGCCAACCTGACTGACTGACTTTCTACCCCACCAGGACATCAGACAAGCGATAAACACCCGATGACACAAAGTGCCACCATGTGGATGAGGATCGCCGTGGAGAGGTCCCAGAAACCGCGTTTAGACAAGTGGCCATATTTATGGCCTGCATATATTGCGGCCCCTGACAAAAGCCAGAGTGGAGCTTCAAATAACAAAAAATTTCGTCCTAAAAAGAACGAAACTAAATAATGATATATATAACCAGCAGCCAACCTTCACAGTGAGGGAATATTTAGACAAGGTAATATGAAATTGTGAATGTTTTTGCACAGAAGATCACATCCGGCGCGCATGCCCAGATGGCAAAGCCACGTACGAATAGTTGACTGTAACCGGAACAGAGAAGGCAGAGATTTGTTGTTGATTTCATAAACTTCAACCATTTGCATCACGTTTAGGGACATATTGGACACCCAGAATGGCGAGTACATCATCTTCTGCCATTCTTCTCTCGCATAATATCATCTAGATTCTGCTATATTCTTTTCAGAATACGTATTTTGTTTTCTGTCTCTACCCACGGCGTACCGGCAGTGATGAATGTTTGAGTTTGTGTCATCGTCTGCCAGCTAGGCTGATTTTGCTTTTATAATCTGTTGGTGTCTTTAAGTACTTGAGTAGTACTTGTGTGACTGCACAGCATCACTATCTTAATCTCATAACACTGCACGTCATTGGGTCACCAATTGCTGTTGACTGTGATCAGATCAGTTCACACTCTCGGTCGGATGTATATGGCCTTATAATGAAATGGACTTGAGGTTTGCCAGTTAGGTGTCTGTCTAGGTCTGTCCATTCTGATAAATTAGTCCTGTATCCAGATGTTTCTTGGTGTGCGCATCTTCTCCTCTTCCCCTCTACAGAGCCTTGTGTAGTATAATTTAAAAGTGGCCAGAGATTGTGTTACCTGCCCATACCATTGCATTTCCATTTCTTCACTGGTTGTTACAAGAAGTTCATAGTTGCCAATGACTGCACAATATATCGGAATGATTAATATTATAATGTATTGTTGTTTGTTGGCCAAACATAAACATCAGGCTACATTCGTAGGTTGGTGAATATTGTTAATTATAAATGTTTATATTAAAATATAATTGAAAACTTTGTTATAACAGCTTGCTTGAAGTAGAATGTTAAGTATGTATCTAGGAGGCCAGTTGGTTTGAATTTCTGAATGGACTGTGTGTTAACTAATATTACCCCAGTCTAATCCTTGGTGTGACTCTTGTACCATTGTTTAAAATCCACGAGTAAGGTCTTTTGAACTGTCCACCACAGGAATCAAATCTTAGTAAACATTGAGGAGTGCATTGTGAAACTGTTTCACCACCCTCTAAATAACAGAGCAGTTTAATTGTGTCATTTAGCAGGTCCTTTACAGAACACTACTCCTGTCACAGTCTGCCTGAAAGCAGCCTTGCTAGCTTGCCTGTCTCAGGCACTTTCATACCCAAGATGTCTGTTATATCCCATGTCCATCTTCATGCTGGTTGTTACTGCCCCTCACACTCAGTGCTATGCCGTCAGCTACCAACTGTTCTTTCCAGTCCACCGTGATGCTTGATGATACTAAAATATTTCACTTTTTGAAACAAGATGCTAATTACGAGCTATAAATTAGGAATGCAAAAAATCTAGCTTTCCTAAAACATAACTGTGTTTAATTATTATCAGTGTAAATTGCATGTGCTATCATTGTCTTTGCAAATTAATTAACATATTGAGCTGCATTTAATTGCCATTGTTTTGTCTCAATGTCTGACAGCCTCTGCGTCTCGATGTCAAGCGTAAACTGTCGGCACGCTCTGATCGCGTGAAATGTGTCGACCTTCACCCTACTGAACCCTGGATGCTTGCCAGTCTCTACAATGGCCACATCCACGTTTGGAATTTTGAGTCACAGGTGCGGTTAATGTTTTGTTGTTGTATTGGGTATGAGTATGTTACATGTCTGAGCTCTTTGGCTTAGAGTTGAGGGAGGTGGTTTCACAGTACTATCCACAAGGTTTATGAAGGTTCAGTTCTGGCCTCTGTGGTTAAGAAGAAGACCATTGTCATGGCTTTCAGACAGTGGTACAAAAGTGGCAATGTGAAAGAGATTGAGGCCTTACCACTTTAAGATTTCCATAGTCAGCAGTGAATGCATTGCAGCCAACCTCAATTGAGGAGATGGCACAGTTTTAAAAAAAAATGCAAAGAAAAATGCACAAGAAACGCTAAGATGAATGAGGATACGAGGCACTGTACATGATTCCATCCATGGTATTGAAAAGATTGTAAAGGATAGACTGGAATAGGGCAATCAATTGAGAGACCTGTGTGACATATAAACAGGACAACAGAATGATGATGGCAGTGATTGTTCAAATAACCCAGGTATTGGTTACTGCCAGTGTCTAGGAACAACAGGTCAGATGAGACAGACACACACAACAACTCCTCCAAGAACCACCCAGCAGCCATTTAACCATTTTCACAGTTTATTAGGCAAATTTCACATAGTGACAGCTGAAAATTGTCTCTCCATCTTCGTCTTGCTATCATCCCAGAATTAATGCTAGCTGTCATTTACACATCACTGTCAGCACACTAAATCGTCTATTACAGCAGCATACTGGCGCCTACAGCTGGTATTCTGTTGCAGTAGATTCACACTCAGGCACACAGTCAACTTCTCTGCCATAATTAACGCGCACATGAGATAAGACTTCACTTGACTCTTGGATCAGGTAAGTCTCAGAGTCAACCTCAGCGCTTGGGGTCTAGTCCAAAAATGATCTGCATTCTCTCCTCCTCGCTCATGTTCATACATTTGCTGAAACATTCACTGTTTCCACGGTATTCATCCATTTCTCAGCTCATCCTTGTCTTTCACACAGAGTATTCCTGGGGTTTCCCTAACCAAAATCATACCTCTCATTATTATGAATATGTTTCCCTGTTTTGCTTTCTAATCCAAATACCTGTGTTAACTCCTAATGTCCTGTCATCATCGTGTCACTACAGTTATGTTAACCCATTACCTAGCTCTAGTTTGTTTGTGTAAACATTTTATATACTACCAAGTTTAAACATTTTATGTTATTAAAAATCAGTCACATGATTACCATGCTAACTTGAAATTGATCATGTGATCTTTCTGTTTGCATAATATAGAAGAGTATTGATACAGCCTCGATCACTTTTAGCAAATGTCTAATCAGTGTGTGGTAAAAGTAATTGAGGCTGTATCAGTAAAACCCTGCTTTCCTATGTTATGTAAACAGATAGATTGCGTGATCAATTTAAAGTTACTAGGGTTATCACGTGACTGATTTTGAATTTCTGGCAGATAAATGCGCAGCAGCTCGACATTGTGGTTTATGAATTTCAGCAAAAAAAGGATTCATTTTATGCTTCTTTATATGTTGATTTACACTGTAATAATCTACCTTGTGAGATACAGCAAAATATGCCAGGCAGTGAATTGTGCCTTCAGGATTGTTTACCACACACTGAATAGACGTTTGCTAAAAGTGATCAAGCGAGGCTGAATCAATAAAACTCTGCTCTCCTATTTTATTTTATGTTTATATTTTATATGGTATAGATATTGGTTATATTAACATTTTTAGAGTTTGCCAGGGTTGGGTGATGTTTTATGTAGTACCTTGTATGGTTATGTTAGCATTCTGTGTATTGCCAGATATGGTTGCATTAACATCCTATGCAGCACCTGTTAGCACTTTTTTTTTGGTATCAGACTGTGGTTGAAAATTGGGGTGTCAGGCTAGTGTAGTCTAGTGCCAGGTTTGATTACGTAATCACTTTTTGACTGGATTATATGTTTCCTTTTGACTAGATTGTGTTTCTTTTTAACTGGATTGTTTCTTTTTTTTTTTTTTTTTTTGACTGGACATAATCTCACAGTTATCTCTTCTCTCTGTATCTGTCCCTTTTAACAGTCATTTACTATACATCTGCAACCATAGTTTTTCTGGGTTGCTCCTGTAGGCCACATTTGTATTCTCTGTCAGAAAAATTCTCCGGTCCTGCAGGGTGTAGAGCCCAAATAAGCTAGCCATAAAAGGTGACTTTCTAGGGCTTTTTCCTTTGAAGTCGGAGTGCATTTTCATTAGGGATGAGAAACCAACAGTTTGCATACAAAGTAAGCCAGATCTGTAAAACAAATATGACATGCAAAACTCAAGTTCAAGAACAAGACTAAAGTCCAGAAGTGAACAGACAGCCAAAAAGTTTTGCGGGAGTTTACACCTGGTGAACACTAAAAAGAAGAAGACAATAACATAATATTTGTATGTGTATGTATACATTGTCTGTGGTTCATTAATGTGATATTTGTACTTGTCTTCAGCAACTCATCAAGACATTTGAAGTCTGTGATTTGCCAGTTCGAGCTGCCAAGTTTGTCGCTAGAAAAAACTGGCTTATTTCAGGATCTGTAAGTGATATTTGTCACTGTGATATTTGTGTTGGTTGTAGCTATGACATTTGTTTCAGATGTTTTGGATTTACGTTTTCACGGTCCTGATAAATAATTGATATATATGACATATTCTAACCTCAGAGATATGGTAAACTGTATTCCACAACATTGTGGTCTGAAAATAGTGAAATTATAAAATATACTTTAAAATTGTGATTTGAATATAGTTTAATGATAAAATTTGCTTTATAATTGCGATATGAATATAGTGACCTGATCAAATAGGCTTTGTAATTGTGATCTTGAAATAGTAAAGTAAGGAAAAGACCCTTTTTTCACACCTTAAGGTATATTGGGTTTGAACTATACTTTTTAGAGCATTGGACACTCGGTGGGTGATGTGGTCAGCATCATGCCAGCTGCCTTTACTTCCCAGGACTGCCAGGTGCCCATTTAAGACCGGGTCGACCTGAAAGCAAAGGTCATTTCTGAGAGAAGTCAGGACCTGAACCCACAGCCTTCTGATCCACAGGTCAGCTTCTAGAGGCTATACCACAGTGGCTCGATCTGAAAGTAGAAACGTGACAAAATATATACCACAAAATTGTGATCTGAGTAAAGAAGAGCTGGCAAAGCGGTTGAAATCCTGGGCTGTAATATGGGAGACAAATCACACTTGGTGGGTGATATGGTCAGCATCACACAGGCCGCCTTTACTTCCCAGGACTGAATGAGATGTTATGTGAACCTCATGTTTTATTGTAGATGTAAAAAACTGTTTCTATAAAATGAGTCTTGTGTTATATCACAGATTTTTCCTAATGTATAAATGATGTTTCCTGTGATTTACATGATTGTTGTTTCTTGTGATTTTATGATATGCTGTTTCTTGTGTAACAGATGATTGTTAGTTCATAGATTGTTATTTTTTCTTGTTTTATCTATTGTGAAATAAATGTCTTTTGTTTCTTGTGATGTACATGGCTTGTTCTTATTTTATTGATGACTGTTGTTTCTTGTGATATACATGCCTGTTGTTTCTTGTGATATACATGCCTGTTGTTTCTTGTGATATACATGCCTGTTGTTTCTTGTCTTTTTTTTTGGATGACTGTTGTTTCTTATTTTATTGATGACTCTTGTTTCTTGTGATATATATGACTTGTTTCTAGTTTTTTAGATGAAAGCAAGGATTTTTCCTTGTGATATAGAAGATTTGTTGTTTCTGGTGATATTGATGACATTCTGTTTCCTGTGTTATAGATGACATGCTGATCAAGCTTTGGGACTGGGAGAAGAAGTGGACCTGCACCCAGGTGTTTGAAGGGCACAGCCACTACGTCATGCAGATCGTCATCAACCCCAAGGACAACAACCAGTTTGCTAGTGCCTCCTTGGACAGGACAATCAAGGTGCTCTGCCATGTCCTGTCTTACATGTCATCATTTCTGTCCCTGTAATCTTTCACCTACTCTTGTTTGCCATCGACTATAGAACAGGCTACATGGCACACAGAAGATCAAGAAGCGTGTTGAATGACGTCATCAACAGTTCCTTAAAACATAGGCTCGGATTACCTAGCTCAGCAGTTCGAAACCTGCTGGTCGTGACCTTTTTGGGGTGAACGACCCTTTCACAGGGGTGGCCTGAGACCACCAGAAAGCACATATTAACTGAAGTCATGAAGTAGCAACAAAAATAATTTATGGTTGTGGGGTGGCCACGACATGAGGAACTGCATTTAAGGGTCACAGCATTAGGAAGGTTGATCACCCCTGACCTAGCTGCTCAAGACTAATTGAAAGGTCGAGCAAGCACAGAAACAAAACCTTCTTTTTCCTGAATAGACAAGGAGAAGCTGACTGATCCTTTTTCCACTCAAGGCTGTCATTTAAAGATGTTATGCCCTGTGACATAATGAGCTCTCTCCTGGGTGTCAGTGAAACAGGACAAATAACTGAAGGACCCTGTTCAGCCTTCAAGAGTAAAAGTAAAGGACCCTTTTCCAGGCCCTTGGGTATATAGTGCTAGAAGTATATTTTATAGACCAAGCGGGAGGTGATTTGGTCATCGGGCAACATTGTATTTTATGTTGGGTTGACCTGCAGGCTTTGAAAAAATCCCGCCCAGTGTCGATTCGAACCCATGACATTTAGGCCTGCAGGTGAGGATCTAATTGCTATGCCATGGTGGCTACTCAGTTCAACCTCCAAGGAAGTTACAATTTCAGCATCTGTAACATCTACACTGAGTACTTCTCATTTTGTTTGCTGGGTAGAGGATTGAGTAATAGGAAGAAACATGTAATCTTCTTCTACTTCTTCTTCTTTGTTCACCAGCTGTAAGCTCCAGCAGAAAGTCCTGGTTGTTCGTCCATTTGGACTTTGGCTTTGTGCCAGGGCCTGAGTTTTCGGTGTGCATCCATTTTACTTACTTTTTTTGGGTGCAGTTGGTTGATCCTTGCCACTCGGGCAGATGTATTCTGATTTCGAAGGAAGTCTCCAGTTAGTTGACTTCTACGACATGCTTGTTGTGGAGGCAGTGGGCCTTTTCTTGTTTTCCCCACAGTGGAGCTCCTGGAACCCATACGGGGAACATGTAATCAAAAATCTTATATAACTGTAATGTACCTTTGTGTCTTTTCCTTTTTTTGTGTGTTCATCATCATCAGTTCTCGTTATGCCTAGTGGCACATGAGGCTTCAGAGAGGACTTTCCATGCTTTCCTGTCCTGTGCAATTTTCAGTGCAGTTTTCCAAGTCAAAGATGCCGCACTCAGGTCACTTTCCATCGTTCGTCTCCATGTTGTTTTTGGGCGCCCCTGTTTTCTCTTTCCCTCTGGTGTCCATGTGAGAGCTGTTTTGGCAGGTATATCAGAAGCTATTTCCATCTTCTCTTGGTAATCATACTGTCTAAAGTTGCTTGGTTTGTGTGTGTGTGAAGTGCGGTCCTTCATTGTGACGAGTGTAAAAGTGACTAGGGGTGTCGCAATGTAACAAATGGCATCAACACTTAACATGCCACTGGCCAAGAGTAACACAACATAATGAATGCTGAAGCTTCCAACGTAGCAGAACGAGAACTCTCTTTAAAAGTTCCATTTGTGTATTGACAATTGCAATGATCAACACAAGAATACGTATGCAATCAATAATCAACTCGTTCAACCAAAGCTCACTCGTACATCCATGTATTGATATGTTCTCACGATAGGTCGCAGTCCGACCTTGAGATCCAGACGATTATCTTTGTCCTCGGACAAGTCCGAATTAAGCAATGAAAGTATACCGGCTTACTGCCGAGAATGTAGTGCTCACCAGCTTCCTGCTGAGGTCTATCTTGGAATCCTGGGGTAAAACGTCTTCATGGATCCAACTTCATATAACGTTTGCTTCCGTGGGATCCCGTGGTAAAGCGTCCTCAAGGATCCACACGTCCGTCTCCTTCGGACTATAAACATCAACTGCCTTTGACAACAATCCTTCACAACGTTACGTATTGTTTTGACGTCTTATTTGCTCACTCCGTACTGGTGCGTTCTGGTGCACATTCGCACGCGACAGTGTGTAATTATCATTTATTTTAGTTGCCAAAAAAAAAAAACTTACAAAAATAGAGTAAGAAAAGCTTGTATAGGAGAGTCTTGAGAATACCTTAATTTTTATAAACTATTATTAAATTTGCTTTTGCATGTATGGTATTGAAAAAAAAATTGATGAATCAGAGGCAAAAGAAGTGTCAGTTGATTGGTTGAACCCTAAGGTGTTCTTATGTATAAATTGAACATTTTCACTCATTTATTTATTCAGATTTTATGTGTCAAAATTATGCTCTTTTCAGTAGCTGCATGTTCTTTTGTCAATTAGTATACATGCCTAGGTGGAACTTATCATTCGATCTTTACACTGTTTCTAAATAAGCTGTAACTCAGGTTGGGCACATTCATGCTTTATGGGTAACAATATTGTGTGGTGAAATAAAAAAGAAAAAAATATTTTCATCGTGCAAATTTGATGCTGTATTTCCAGGTATGGCAACTAGGATCTCAGACCCCAAACTTTACATTGGAAGGTCACGAGAAGGGAGCAAACTGTGTTGACTATTACTCAGGGGGAGACAAGCCATACCTTATCTCTGGGGCAGATGATCGACAGGTCAAAATTTGGGACTACCAGGTAACTGATTTCTGTGTAAAGCAGGTAGCTTGGTGTTGGAGGGTGTCGGTGAGCACATGCAACTGCCTGTATTTCTCTTACCATTTTGGAATTTATTTATTTTATAAACTTTCCACCAAATAATACTTGTTTAGTCCTAGTTGATTTTACAGCAGATGTCTAAAGAGAACAAGATACACAATTGATAAAACCACAATGCACAAATCTACAGAGGTATGCAATGTGTAGCTTCTTTGAAATATTTAAAAAACACCTCCATGATAAAATAAATAAACTAGGCTATTTGCTGAAGCATGTATACAATTACAGCATGTATAGTGTGGTACATAAAGACAGTAGCTGACCACACATAATGCATTGTTTGGATGTTGAAAGAGTTAAAGTAAAAGTACAGATCCTTTGTCATACTATTGGTCCATGTTGATCATTCATTATGCTTCTATATTTCTCTATGGTAGGGTGGTAGATCCATATTCTTTTTATAGATGACAATAATTGAGTGACGATATGGTCAGCATTATGCCAACCACCTTTACTTCTCAGGATGTTTCTGGATGCCCATTTCAGTTGAGGTCAATCTGGGACTCCAGGTAAATTATACAAATGCAACTTAATACAATTTTGAGCCCCCAAGGACCTTTGGGCCGGTGGTAAGCATCTAGTAGCGTTTTTTCCCTCTTTCCACACTGTCTTCTCTGACTCGCCGTATCTCCCACACCCTTTCTGTCAGTGTTCAAAAAATAAAATTCTGTTCACACTTCAGTCCATATACAAATAATGTTTTGCTCTAAGATAAATCCATGAAAATGTGTTAGCCCTGAAAATAACTTTCTTAAAATCTTCAACCAGTTTGTACCTACAGAAAGCATTGTTTACAGCAGATAAGGTCAGATTCAATTGGGGGGGGGGGGGGGGGGGGGGGGGGGGTCACCTATTTTTTAATTATATCAGCTTATACTTTTATCCACACAAATAATGTCTGTCCAGTCTATAATCCACATAACAGTAATTTTCTGTTCTATCTACATAAAAATAACTTTTTTTTTCCCACACGTTAATCCACATAAAATGAATGTCACTTTCACTCATTAGGGCACATAGATTTGATGTGTTTACACATTCATGGTGATTTATTTTTCAGAACAAAACCTGTGTTCAGACGTTGGAAGGCCATGCTCAGAATGTGGCAGCTGTCGCCTTCCACCCGACTCTTCCCATCATTCTAACAGGATCAGAGGATGGTCAGTTGGGTTTTTGATATTTCATGATTTGTGTCCCTTTTGATACACAGTTAAAAGGGTATATTCATTTGGAGATTTTTAATAGTGGCAGGTCTTCGCTGTGTGGGTTCCGGGACCCCACTTCGTGGGTGTGGGAGGGGATAAACCCACTTCCCCTTAAGAATGTTGAAAAAGGCAACTAATGATGTGTTTGCTGAAATCTGATGTGTTGAGCTGAAAGGTGCAAATATCACAGCCTAGCTGTAAACAGTAACAACATGCCAACTGCCCGGTGAGGAGCGAATGCAGACAAAGAAGAATGGCAGGTCTCACTAGATGGATCCATTTGAGGCGTGAAGATTAGGGATTTGAGAATCGAAATAGCACACTGGGCATACCCATAGATACTCTGTATTCCGAAGCGAAAGTCCTAATTAGTAGATGCCAACTGTTTCCTGAGCATACTGATAAACTGAACAACCATAATCACAGGTTTAATCTAAGCAGTTCACTATTGTGCCCTGTACAGCCCATTAAGAAGGGAATACTGGCCCACTGAATCAACACTGTACTTAAAGTAACACTGTACTGAAAGTTGTATGGAACTAAAAGGGAACTACAAACAGTCAAGTTTAATCACAAGAACTTGTCTGTCGGTGTAAATCAGAAAGCGATCACAAGAACTTGTCTATCAGTATAAATCAGAAAGCGATCACAAGAACTTGTCTATCAGTATAAATCAGAAAGCGATCACAAGAACTTGTCTGTCAGTGTAAATCAGGAAGTGATCACAAGAAAAAGAGGAAGAAGAAAAGAATGCTGATCACACTGTGGCATCTGAAATCCCTTTCCCCTCCTACACCACTCTTATAATTGTAAATACATGCAGTAATGATGGGGTGGTGGGTGGAGGTCCTCAATAGCCTTTACATATACATCTTTATTGGCAGGCACTGTACGAATCTGGCATGCCAACACATACAGGCTGGAGAGCACTTTGAACTACGGGCTGGAGAGAGTCTGGACCATTGCCTGTCAGAAGGGAAGCAACAATGTTGCCGTGGGCTACGATGAAGGCAGCATCATTATCAAGGTTAGTTTTGGTTCATTCGTTCTTTGATTGATTATCACAGATTTCTGAGCATTGCATTCAGAACTTCTTCACGGGGGCAATGAAGTAGTTAGTTAGTAAACAGGGAAATGCTTAAAATCTGTTTACTAGCATGTGCTAATCCTAACCTACCTCCATGTAAGTTTTCTTTGCTTAGCCTTTATCAGATGTAAACTTTAGCGGAAATTTTGAGTTATTCGTCCACTTCTGAACATTAATATTTTTCCAAAACTCTCAAGTTTTGCTGCAAATCTCTTTAGCGGATGCAACTTGTTTTTATTTAAACTGTTGGTTCCTCACTTCTCAAGCAGATGTATTCTGACTTTGAAGTAACCGCCATTTATTTGACGCCCTTTATGACATGCTTGATAGGGAAGCAGTGGGTCTGCTCCCTTTGCCCCCACAAAATGGGGCTCCTGAACCCACACAGGGAATGTAAGTTAATCAGAGTAGAGGACCTTGTTTACAGTGCCACGCCAGACGTATGGTGCTAGACTGACATTTGTATAGACCAGTCAGCACCCAGTGAGTGGTGCAGTCAGCATCACTTCGGTCAGCTTGACTTCCCAGGACTTTATCTGATATCCATGTTAGGCTGGGTCGACTTTGGAGCCAAGGTCAGTTTTGAAAACGGACCACCTTATGGGATTGCTTTCAACAGCAGTTTTCAGCAGAATTGTGGCCGCACACCATTTCTATGCTTGTGGCGCACACCATTTCTTTGCTTGAAGCCCTATGCCAGGCTTTTATAACTGCTGCTTGTGAGACGGTATGGAAAAAGAGAGAGAGAGAGAGAGAGAATGAAAGTAGGGACACTTTTCCACGCCCTTAGGTATCTTGGACATTTAGGGCTAGACCTTTATTTTATAGACCAATCACTACTTGGTGGGTAATGGGGTCCATGACTTAGCCACCTTTACTTCGCAGGACTTTAGCTGATACCCATTTAAGACTGGGTCACCCTAGGAGCCAAAATCATTAAAAAAAAAAAACATCTGGCTACGTCAGGACCTGTGCACACCATCTTTGGATCGGCAGGTGAGCGCCTACCTGCTACACCACAGTGACTCCCTTGTAAGGCGGTGCCAGCACAAAATAGGTGTTGGTTTTTTCAGGTTTGTCCAAATGAGATGGCAGGTGTATAATTTGTTGTTATAGTCATGTGCCCTGCCAATAAGCATAGATGGTCATGTTTCACCATTTCATACGATCATGGTTCGGTCAGTAGGAGTTTGCTTGTGTGCGTGAAATGTCTTATTGTGCTGAATGCAAGTTTCCACTCCTTTACAGCTTGGCAGGGAGGAACCAGCCATATCGATGGATTCATCCGGAAAGATCATCTGGGCCAAACACTCCGAGATCCAGCAGGCCAACATCAAGGCAATAGCAGACCAGGAGATCAAGGACGGGGAGAGGTTGTCCCTGGCGGTCAAGGATATGGGTAGTTGTGAGATCTACCCACAGACTATCTCTCATAATCCTAATGGCAGGTAAGCTGGAATCTTAATCACATTTATCATCATCATCACACCCAGACCACCGTGTTGTCAGACAAATGTACTGATCACTCTGTCACTTTGGTTTAAATCATCATTACATGTTCTATTTCTACTCTCTCATTAAATATAGTCATCATTACATGTTCTTTTTCCACATTCTCATTACATGTTCTGTTTTCACATTCTCATTACATAGTGTCATCACTGCATCATCTGTTTTCCACATTCTCATTATGTCATCATTGCAGGGTCTGTTCCCACAGCCTCATTTCATATCATCATTATATGTTCTGTTTCCATATTCTCATTAAATGTTCTGTTTCCATTAGGGCTGTACCGAATATTCGCTTCGTATTCGCTTCGGGGCCGAATAGTGGACCCAATAACTATTCGGTATTCGGCCGAATAGTTGCGGTCGGGCCGAATACGAATAGTGGCTACCTCACAACCGTTTCTGGACTGGTGGAAAAAAAACATCAAGACTTCCCACCTTGGTTTATACTGTGAAGCGTTATCTTTGTGCACCACCTACGAGCGTACCAAGTGCCCCTTTATTTCCATCTTGCATGTGTTGCGAGCATAGTGTTTTTAGGTGTGTTGCTGTAGAAACAAAATGCAACACTTAAAAATGTAAGAGGGGCAGAAAAGCAAGTGTTGTCGGCTTGATTTCTTTGAGTAGTGTCCTCTTCGTTGATTCTTTGAAGTAACAGGAGTTCATCATCATTTATGGGTGTCGTATCTGTTCTTTCGTCGTCTTGTGGAAACGGCAGCGGCTGAATGTTTTGATCGAAATACCTTCAGTGAGACAAAAAGCTGGCCTAATGCTGACAACATGGAACGAAGGTTTTTCATGGAGGTGTGTCAGCACACGAACTAATACGTGCTGCAGGAGATCGCAGATTGTGGCGAGGCATAATCACCCATGCCAGCCGGCAAAGCACATGATGATGATGATTCACTATTCGTATTCGGCCGAATAGTTGGTCCAGCTATTCGTATTCGGCCGAATAGTGAAAATCACTATTCGGTACAGCCCTAGTTTCCATATTCTCATTATATGTTCTGTTTCCATATTCTCATTATATATTGTTATCATTACATGTTTTATTTCCACATTGTTGTTACAAATTATCATCATCATATGTCCTATTTTCACATTCTTATTACATCTTGCCTTCATTACATGTTCAGTTTCCACATTCTCTTTGCATATCATTACATGTTCTATTTTCACATTCTTATTACATATTTTCATCATTACATGTTCTATTTTCACATTCTCATTACATATCATCATTACATATCATCATTACATGTTCTATTTTCACATTCTCTCATTACATATTTTCATCATTACATGTTCTATTTCAACGTTGTCTCATTACATATTAACATCATTACATGTCCTGTTCCCACATTCTCATTACATATGACTGATGTCATTCTCTCTTTATCACACATGATCTTTCTGTCTTCAGGTTCGTGGTTGTCTGTGGGGATGGAGAGTACATCATCTACACAGCAATGGCCTTGAGAAACAAGTCGTTTGGTTCAGCCCAGGAGTTTGTGTGGAGCAATGACTCGTCTGTCTATGCTGTCAGGGAGGGCAGCACTTCTGTGAAAATATTCAAGAATTTCAAAGAGCAGAAATCATTCAAGCCAGACTTTGGAGCTGAGGGTGAGTCGATCAATCAATCAATCAGTTCTCTTTATGCCTAGTGGCACATGAGGCTTCAGAAAGGACTTTCCATGACTTCCTGTCCTGTGCAATCTTCAGTGCAGTTTTTCATGTCAGAGATGCAGCACTCAGGTCACTTTCCATCTTTCATCTCCATGTTGTTTTTGGGGCATCCCTTCTTTCTTTTTTTCTTCTGGTGTTCAATTGAGAGCTATTTTTACAGGTATATCAGGGTTCATTCTTATAATGTGGTCAAGCCATTTCCATCTTCTCTTTGTTATACTGTCTAGAGTTTCTCGTTTTAAGACTTGAAGTAGTTTAGTGTTTGAGATTGTATCTGGCCAGAAAATGTTGAAATTCTACGTAGACATGTGTGGTGAAAGGGACAGCTTGTGTGCATCCTTTTTGGTCATTCTCCAGTATTCTCCTCCATAAAGAAGAACTGGCAAAATTATGCTCTTGAAGAGTCGGAGTTTTGTTCCTTTGCAGTAACTGTTGGATTTCCAGATTTGCCTCATCCTTCCTAAAGTGGCTCTAGCTTTGTTCAAGCATGATTTTATGCCTGCCTCTGACCCTCCCAGCAGGGACACCACACTGCCAAGATACATGAACTGTTCTATATTTTCAAGTGTTTAGTTATTTAAGGTCACTGGCTGTTGGTTTGAACTGTTTGTCGTGATCGTAGTTTTCCTTATATTTATTCTCAGTCCCACTATTTCTGCTGTGCTGTGTAGTCTGCTACTTCTCTCTTGTGTATGTTCATGTTTGAGTGATGAGGATGGGTTGACACTGATTAAATACAGGGACTTTCAAGCAAAACAAACAAACGAATTTTTCTTTAAATAAGTGAAATCAGGAGCTACTGTAGCATAATGGTTAAATGTTCCCCTGCCAGCCCGAAGATGTTTGGTTTGAATCCCCACCGGCTGATATTTCTTTCCTTCAACATTTACCCTGGCTCCTGGGTTGACCTAGCCTAAAATTGTCTCAGGTAATGTTCTGGGAAGTAAAGGTGGCTAGTGTGATTTTGACCTCGTTACCCACTGAGTGCCGACTATAAAAGTGAGTCCGGCTTCGTGTGCCTGGTCTGTCACTGGCGACAAAATGGTCCCTTACTTTTTACTTAACTTGGTCATCTTGTTCCATGTTCGTTTTTCTTCTTCTCAAAGTCCATGCCATGTGACAATGGTAGACATGACTAATCCACAACATTCTGTCTCGTGTACTTTCAGTCAACTCTAACACAGATGATCTTCAATGCCATGATGTCAGACTGTCCAGAATCTTCTCTCTTAGTTTCCCTCTCCCTCTCTTCCCCTCCAGCTTTCCTGCTGTCATGACAGAAGGTAGATTGTCTCTTTCTGATGTGATTGTCTCTTTCTGATTTGGGCAATCAGTACTCTTTGTTGTAATTCCTTCCATTTTGTGCAGACATCAGTTAATGAATGTTTATAGTTACCAGTTAATGAACTTTAAATGTTTTGTTTTGCTCTTCTTTTTTTAATTTAAATCTCATGTTATTGCTAAAGGTATCTTCGGAGGTCACATGTTGGGTGTGAGGTCAGTGAGTGGTCTGGCTTTCTACGACTGGGAGACCACTGAACTTGTCAGACGCATCGAGATCACACCAAAACATGTATGTATTGTTATATAATTATTATTCTAGCATGAGTATATTGTTATATTCTTGCTTTTTAAATATGTTTATTGTTTTTTAATTATGTCAGAATTATGTATTGTTATATACATGTTATTCTAAGATGTATGTATTGTTATATCCTTGATGTTCTAATGTCTGTATTGTTGTATACTTTTTATTCTAGCATGTGTGTATTGCTATTTACTGTTATTTATTATTCTAACCTGTATGTACTGATATTTACCTGTTATTCGAACATGTATGTATTGTTATGTGCTTGCAATTCCGATATGTTTATATTGATATTTAATTTTAAATCTGACATGTTTGTATTGTTATATTCTTGTTATTCTAACATGTATATTGTTTGTTTCTGTCAGATTTTCTGGAGTGAGAACGGAGAGTTAGTTTGCATTGCCACAGAAGATTCTTTCTTTATACTGAAGTTCAGTGCAGAAGCTGTGGAGAATGCCAAGGAATCCAAGGACAAGATTACGGAAGATGGCATTGAGGATGCTTTTGAGGTGAGAATTGTGTTTGTCATATTCTCTACATTGACTAGGATTCAATTCCTGCAGTGGGTAGTTCAGAAAAAGACCATTCTCAAGGCTTTCAGACAGTGGTATGAGAGTCACACCGTGGAAGAGATTGCCCATTGTGGCGGCTGCACAATTTGTATTTGTATGTGTTTGTCAGCTGTATGTAAAATACACTTTCTGACTTAGTTCTAAAACATTCAGAATCTGGCTTGGGTGGTGGGCTAGGTTTGGGAAGCCTTGAATTCTATCTTTTGTTTCTGCTGCTTTGGAGCTAAGGTTGTCGGAGTCTGAAATCAATAAACCGGGTGCCGTCTCCACAGTGAAGGCTGGCTGCACTGGGTTTCCAACATTCTCTGTCTTTTTGTCTTGTGAACACTTTCTAAGACTGCTGTTCATCCATCTCTTGATATTCTTTTCCCACTTGTATTATTGTTTACCTCTTGCATCTTTCTTTCATGTTTTCCCTTCAATGTGGTTTTTAAAAGAGTTAATGTCTTAATGTGGCCAAAATATTTCAGTTTAGATTATTTGTTTCTCCAAATTACTCTCTTATAATTTACCAACTTAATGGTTCCACGTCCTTTTAAGGATGCAATTTTTTGTTATTCGAAGCCCCACCCTGGCTTTTGCCAGGGGCCGCAATATAGGCAGGCCATTAATATGGCCAATTGTCTGAACGCGGTTTCTGGGACCTCTCAACGGTTATCCTCATTCACCTGGTGGCACTTTGTGTCATCGGGTGTTTATCGCTTGTGTGATGTCCTAGTGGGGTAGAAAGTCAGTCAGTCAGTGAAATTACTCTCTTTTTATTTGCAGTTTCAGATTACTCTCTTTTTATTTGCAGTCACTCCATAACCTTTGTATTTCATTTGATTGTTTTTTTTCCCTCCTGTATATCCACATTACCAGATTCTCAATTCTATTTTCTAGTTACTTGTTCATTGTCCAAGTTTCTTCACCATATAGCAGTTTTTAAGAGGGCATACATCTATCAGTCTAAGGTTGAGGGCCTCCCAACGCTGTACTATTTATTTTCTTTGTGGTGATTGCCTTTGCAGAGCTTTCCTGTTTCTCTGACATGTGCAGCAACAAACAAATATGCAGTCTTCAGCATCTGTGAAGAGAAAGAAATCTGGCATCTTTGGACTGTTAGTCAGACAGATTAGGCTGCACCATGAAGAGTCGATGCTCTACAATCTTGTTTAGATGGGTGCTGGTCTTGTAATCTCTGTGGTTCACAGCAATCTGTGGACGCAAAGATCACAGGCCAGAGCATCAGAGTAGTAAGCTGACTCAGAGCATGACTTAACCACATGAGCTCAAGTGTCACCTGTAGCTATTTAGCACTCAAGCAAACATCCCTGCAAGACTGGCAAAATGTTTGTAGATAGAGATGGTAAATGTGGTCCATAGGAGCAACCCTATAAGACACTGAGAAAGGCTAATGGAAACGCCAGGCACATCACTTTCCTTATGACCAACCCAGAATAATTTTGTAGCAAATGCTGGTAACATAAAAAGATGCTCTTCATCTGTACAAAGCATAATAAATTGAGGGCCATCACTTTTGAGAATTAAAGTCACGAGCCACTGATAGGTATGTAATTGTGGAATTGACAGCTCAGCTTCTTCTGTGTTCTGTTGAAACAAAGATTTGCGCTTTGTGGTTTAAAGTTAGCATTGATAACTACAACTTTTGGTTCAGCACATCCGATTTCAGCAGACCCTTAATTAGTTGTCTTTTATGACATTCTTATTCACGCTTTCAGCCGCAGAAGGTTGTAGCTAATGTAACATTCACTCTTTCCGTTGCAGAATGTTGTTGCTAATGTCTGATTCACTCTTTCAGTCGCAGAAGGTCATAGTTAATGTCTGATTCACTCTTTTAGTCACAGAAGGTCGTAGCTAATGTCTGATTCACTCTTTTAGTCACAGAAGGTCATAGTTAATGTCTGATTCACTCTTTCAGTCACAGAAGGTCGTAGCTAATGTCTGATTCACTCTTTCAGTCGCAGAAGGTTGTAGCTAATGTCTGATTCACTCTTTCAGTTGTAGAAGATTGTAGCTAATGTCTGATTCACTCTTTCAGTCACAGAACGTCATAGCTAATGTCTGATTCACTCTTTTGGTCGCAGAAGGTCGTAGTTAATGTCTGATTCACTCTTTCAGTCACAGAAGGTCGTAGCTAATGTCTGATTCACTCTTTCAGTCACAGAACGTCATAGCTAATGTCTGATTCACTCTTTCAGTCGCAGAAGGTCGTAGTTAATGTCTGATTCACTCTTTCAGTCACAGAAGGTCGTAGCTAATGTCTGATTCACTCTTTCAGTCACAGAAGGTCATAGTTAATGTCTGATTCACTCTTTCGGTCGCAGAAGGTCGTAGCTAATGTCTGATTCGCTCTTTCAGTCACAGAAGGTCATAGTTAATGTCTGATTCACTCTTTCAGTCGCAGAAGGTCGTAGTTAATGTCTGATTCACTCTTTCAGTCACAGAAGGTCGTAGCTAATGTCTGATTCACTCTTTCAGTCACAGAAGGTCATAGTTAATGTCTGATTCACTCTTTTAGTCACAGAAGGTCGTAGCTAATGTCTGATTGACTCTTTCAGTCACAGAAGGTTGTAGCTAATGTCTGATTTACTCTTTCAGTCGCAGAAGGTCATAGTTAATGGCTCATTCACTCTTTCAGTCACAGAAGGTCGTAGCTAATGTCTGATTCACTCTTTCAGTCGCAGAAGGTCATAGTTAATGTCTGATTCACTCTTTTAGTCGCAGAAGGTCGTAGCTAATGTCTGATTCACTCTTTCAGTCACAGAAGGTCATAGTTAATGTCTGATTCACTCTTTTAGTCACAGAAGGTCGTAGCTAATGTCTGATTCACTCTTTCAGTCACAGAAGGTTGTAGTTAATGTCTGATTCACTCTTTCAGTCGCAGAAGGTTGTAGCTAATGTCTGATTCACTCTTTCAGTTGTAGAAGATTGTAGCTAATGTCTTATTCACTCTTTCAGTCACAGAACGTCATAGCTAATGTCTGATTCACTCTTTCGGTCGCAGAAGGTCGTAGTTAATGTCTGATTCACTCTTTCAGTCACAGAAGGTCGTAGCTAATGTCTGATTCACTCTTTCAGTCACAGAACGTCATAGCTAATGTCTGATTCACTCTTTCAGTCGCAGAAGGTCGTAGTTAATGTCTGATTCACTCTTTCAGTCACAGAAGGTCGTAGCTAATGTCTGATTCACTCTTTCAGTCACAGAAGGTCATAGTTAATGTCTGATTCACTCTTTCGGTCACAGAAGGTCGTAGCTAATGTCTGATTCACTCTTTCAGTCACAGAAGGTTGTAGTTAATGTCTGATTCACTCTTTCAGTCGCAGAAGGTTGTAGCTAATGTCTGATTCACTCTTTCAGTTGTAGAAGATTGTAGCTAATGTCTTATTCACTCTTTCAGTCACAGAACGTCATAGCTAATGTCTGACTAAGGCAGTAAGGAAAGCAGCAAAATATCATACTTGTATTACATTCATAGGCCTAAATACACAATCATTGTAGGAGAATGATGGGGTGCTTGAGTATGCCCTGATTGAGTATATGATGTACAAACATAATAACACGTTGACCAGTACACATAAGCAATATCCACCACTCATGGTGAGTTATTTGGTACTCAAAGGTGGATCCCCCCCTCCCCACTCAACTCTGCGGAGCCCCTGAACCCATATTGGGATTACAGCTAAGTATTTGCAGCAATAAATTTCCATATATGAAAATAAGCAACAAAACCTTTGTCCTGCATGTAAATAGTGTACAGGATAGGATCAATGTGAAGCCCTGAAAATAAATATAGAAGCCTGCATGTCACCAAGAATATTTATTTATAATTCTAGGACTTCAGTGTTTGTGCACTGTGCTGAGTTTCTCTGTGTCTGGTTCACAGGGAAGATGGAACATTTAGGGGTATGTTTATTTTCGTGAACAAAGCGGACCACTGATCTGATCCTGTTCATGTGTTCTCCTCCTGCAGGTGTTGAATGAAGTTGAAGAGAGTGTCCGGACTGGCTTGTGGGTGGGAGACTGCTTCATCTACACCAACAGTGTCAACAGACTCAACTACTACGTGGGGGGAGAGATTGTCACCATAGCACATCTTGATAGGTGGGTGTACAGTTTGTTTGTCATGTGAGTGCGAGGGGGTCGCCATAACACATCTTGACAGGTGGGTGCGGAGGTCTTTACTGTAGTACATCTTGTCATGTGAGTGTGAGGGGGTCGCCATAGTTCATCTTGACAGGCAGATCTGTGGTGGTTGCTATAGGACATCTTGATAAGTTAGTTTTTAGGTAGTATCATTTTTATATAGAGTTCAGTTGGGTTTCCATAAGTGCTCTATTCCTATCTTCAGCAGCGAAGGCAAAGTTCCAATTGTACCAGTAGCAGTCTGATAATAAGTCTGTCTTGCCTTTCCCCTGAATGTTGTGTCATCCAGTTTCCCTGCTGACTCCCTGCTGCACCATTTTCTTCAGACCCTGTTGGTCTGTTTGTGCCTGCTCAGTGTTCCCTTGCTCTCAGATGACTCATAACATTTAACTTGTCATATATCAATTTGTCACTAGGTGGTGCAGATGTAGCAAGTCTCTCGGCCTATTAGTTTCTGTACACACCTGCATCAAGTGCTGAAAATTTCCAAAAAAAACCTAACTACCCAGGACCTCACCATTTTATCCATGTGTACATAGCCGTGTGTCGGCTCTGTGGCTAAGTCGATGCAAACGCTTCGTAATACCGGGATGCTGGGTTCAATCCCAGCTGCGGACCATGTGCCTTGCATTGGCTTCGACATTGGTATCAAAGAAGCCCACCGTCCAGAAAGCAATGGCAAACTATTGGGCATAAATTTGCCTAGAAAAACCACACAACAGCCAGGGGTTGTTGGGGTTGGTTCTGCAACGTCCTGTAAAGGATACGCAACTAACCTTACATAACCCTGTTGCCCTTTTCTTTTCATACTGTTTGCCATGACAGTTTGTGTGATTTTATTAACCCCCCCCCCCCCCCCCCCCCCCTTCCCCCCCAAAATGTTTTTTTTAGATATTATTTGGGGTGGAAAAAAAAAGTTTTTGTGTGTGTCATTGTGACGTCATAATAAACTAACGATGGCGTAACTTTGCTCCGTGTGACTGTGTCAGCGAAACTCTATTGTTTTTCTGAGCAAAGGGAAGGAAAGCAGCTTTTTTTTCTATGCTCCATTTGTATTTATTGTTCACTTTCCTTCATATTAAAAACAATATTAGCTTTGTGGAAATTAAATATTCTAATTACAAAAAAATCCATATTTATAGTGACTTCTGATGACGCAACAGCCAGTTTGCTTGCTTGTCTGCTCAGTGGTTGTCAATTTTAACCCTCTCGGTTTTTTATAAACACTGACCAAAATTCAAAAATTTCTTCTGCTTCTCCTTCTTCTCTTCTTCAAGTTTCATAGGGTAAAGTTTCAGAGAAATATTATTTTTTTTTTTTTTAAACAAAACCTTTGGAAAATGTCATTTGTTTTTAAACATACTTTTTTCAGGATCAAAAAGAGTTAAGGCCATTACTATTATTTTATTTTAGGAAAATTTCATTTTTTTTAATGATTTCTTTGGGATAAAAATAAAAATGTAATTTTTTAACAGATGTTTTTGGGGGGTCAAAAATGGTTAAGGCCATTGCTATAATTTATTTTATGATTGCAGGGTAATGTACCTGCTTGGCTACATCCCGAAAGAAAACCGGCTGTACCTCGGAGACAAGGAGCTTAGCATTGTCAGCTACTCCCTGCTGGTGTCGGTGCTGGAGTATCAGACGGCTGTCATGAGGCGGGACTTTGATACAGCAGACAAGGTGTTGCCAACTGTTCCTAGAGAGCAACGCACTAGAGTGGCACACTTTCTGGAGAAGCAGGTGAGAATCCCCCGCCATGGCAACCTTGTCTTTTTAGTGTGCACTTTTATATGACAACCAGTCTTTATCTCCTTTATCTTCTCCTCCTTGACCCTCTTCTCTTTCACCTTTTTTATTCTTTCTGGTCTTTTTTCTTCCTGCATCATCCTTCTCATTGCTTCTTTCCTTTCACCTTTTTACTCTTCCTTATCTCCTTATCTTCTTGTTGTTTCTTCTTAATCCTCCTTGCTTCTTCCTCTCTTTTACCTATTTTGTCCTTCCCCATCTTCCTTAGCTTTCTCTTTTTTCATCCGCCTCGTTCCTTCTGTTTCACATTTTCTTTTTAATTCTTCCTCGTCATCCTTGTCTTTTTCTTGTTCATCCTCCTCATCATTTTCTTCTTGATTTTCCCTCCTCATCTCCTTTTTTAAAAATTCTTTCTCGTCATACTTGTCGTTTTCTTCCTCATCCTCTTCTTTTTCTTCTTCCTTTTTATCTTCATCTTTCCTCCTCTTATCATGTTATTCAATAGTACTCTTTTTTTCCCCCTAGATTGTTCATCATCATCATCATCATTATCATGCACTATCAATGTAGGTGTTAATGTATCTGCAACATTTTCTTACTCAAATCTTTGTTGTGCATTCAGCTGAACAGTTTCCTAACCATATCTTGGTGTTATCCACTCATTTATATCTGGATACTCTAATTCTTTTGCCCTTCAAATTTCCTTCTGGACCGCTTTAAAAAAAAAAAATGCAGTTATCCAATCATGTTCTTTTAGTAAATTGGAAGGTCTGTAGGCCTAAAAACTATCAATGACCCAGATGCAAAAGAACTATCAATTGATTGAATGAACCCTAAGGTATTTTATTCTGCAGTTTGATCATTTTCACTTATTAAATTACAAAGATTTTGAATATCACAATTATGACCAAATTATGTTTCTTGTCAGTAGCTATGCATTTTACCTGATTCGTTTCCGTTTTTTTAAAACACTTTCCACTTTAAATTTTTTTGTTTTGTTGAGCAGCATATTATATTTTTTACTAAGCAAGTAGTCAGCACATCAAAGACATCTCCCTGTGTTTTCCTAAGGGTTTCAAATCTCAAGCGCTGGCCGTGACCTGTGACCCTGAACACAAATTTGAGCTGGCTATCCAGCTTGGAGAGCTGCGTACTGCATACGAGCTGGCCAAGGAGACGCAGTCTGATCAGAAGTGGAAGCAGCTGGCAGAGTTGGCGATCAGGAAGTGTGAGTTCGGTCTTGCTCAGGAGTGCCTACATCAGGTTTGTTTCTGCAAAATCAATTCTATTTTATTGTCACATTCAAGCTGTGTAACTGTTACATTAATTTTTGTTAGCGGTGTCTTTTTGTTTGCTATTTAACTAAGTTTATTTTTTAATGTGTAACTGAAAATTTTTTTTTGTTTTTGTTAACTGTGTAACTTCTTCTTTTTTCAACATTCTGAGCCCTTGAGGTTCATTGCTGCAGATATCACCCGCCTCCATTCACCTCTCTGGCTGGCCTTCTTTTTCCAGTCCGTGACATCAAGTATTTATAGGTCTGTCTGGATATTATCTCTCCATCGTCTTCTTGGTCTGCCTTGTGGTCAACGACCATTCAGCTCCCATGGGAATACAGTTTTTATCTCTTTGTCGTCTGACATTCTCTCAGTATGCCCCAGCCACTTAAGTCTATTAGCCCTCATGATGCCAGTGATCAGTCATTATTTTACATATATACGTTTTATTGTTGCTTCTCACTCTCCATTCCCCGCTGTTTGCATCTTTGATAGGTCCAAAGATTTGTCGTAAGACTCTGTGTTTGAACATTTTTAATAAGGCTTTATTTCTTTTAGTTGTGCTCTAAGTTTCAGAGCCACATAAAACTATCAACGTATTATATATTTGGATCTTGGTGTTGAGAGATAGAGACTTTGACTTTGAACTGTGTGAACTGTGTAACAAAAAAGTTAATTTTTGTTAACTGTGTGTAACTGAAAAAGATGATTTCTTTTACCTGTGTGACTGAAAACATGAATTTTTTTAATTTTTTTAACTCAAAACAGTGTTTTGCCTTAATGAATTTAAATAATGCAGACAAAAACAATAGGTTATTTGCGTATCCTTTACAGGACGATGCAGAACCAACCTCAGCAGCCCCTGGCTGTTGTGTGGTTTCTCTAGGCAAATTTACGTCCAGTAGTTTGCCATTGCTTTCTGGACGGTCGACCCCCTGATACCACTGTCGAAACCAACGCAAGGCATATGGCCCGCAGCTGGGATCGAACCCGGCATTACGAAGCGTTCGCATCGACTTAGCCACAGAGCCGACACACAAACAATACATTGCACAATTTATTGCCTGGCATATTTCGCTGTATCTCGTCAGATGCATTTATACAGAGTTTACATCAGCATAAATTACATAAATTATAGTTACATAATTATGTAACTGATTTTTGTTGTTAGCTGTGTAACCATAAAAGTTAATCTTAGCTAATTTACTGCAAAATTAATTTTGTTGGTTAACTGTACAACTATAACAGTTACTGTTTTGTTACTATATAATTAATGGAAGTTATATCTCAAACACTTGAGCAAATGAGATTTGAAACCTGTTTTGTCCAGGCCCACGATTATGGTGGTCTTCTTCTGCTGGCCAGCTCTGCAGGCAACCGGGACATGGTTGGCAAACTAGGAGAGGCCGCAGAAAAAGCCGGGCAGAACAACGTGGCATTTTTATCCAACTTTATCTTGGGCAAGTAAGTATCCAACATTGTCTTGGTAATTACAGCTTTTGATTCTTATGTTGTCTAGTGTGTCCTTCTATCGTTTTTTGCTTCTTTCTGTGAGTGCCGATCAGTACATGTCTGTTTATTAAACAGGGTGTTTCCAACAGATTGACTCACTTTGTATCAACCCCCTATCTCACATCCAGTTTTGTTTTGTTTTGTTACAGATGAAAATATTTAGAAATGCCAAACTCACGATTAAAGGTTGAGGAAAGAAAATTTGTTACAAAGTGCTATTTTAAATGTGAGAACGCCATGGAAGTGCAGAGGTTTAAATGACAGTATCATTTTTTTAATGTTTGGAAAACAATTTTCTGAAGAAAATAAATTATAAAATAAAATGAGGGGAATTCAAAAGGAGTAAAGAAATAAGAGAAATGTCTTGGCAGCCACTAATATCAACAGTTATAAGACAGAGAAGATGGCACTAAATTAGACACATCCTGAAAAGAAACCAGCAAAGAATCACCAAACACGCATAACAATGGAAAATAAAAGGATTAAGATGGTGAGGACGCCTAAAAGAAACCCTCAGACGAACGTTGATAAGAGAGGCCAAAGCTGCCGGACTGGATTCCATCCATGATATTTAACTTCTTTCACCAATTTTTCATAGCTCACTTCTGCCTAGCGACTCCACAGAAAATCATTTGGGACCCCATTTGAGATCACGACCCCTGTGCTGGGATCCTGTGGCTTAGAGTGACAGGCACTAATTTCATTCTAGGTGGCAGTTCAGCCTTTTATGTATAGTTAGTATAGTTCTAATACAGAAGTAAACCACCCATTCTGTTTAATTAAGATAGGAATATGGTTCGTTAATAATATCCTACCCCTGATGACGTCACGGGACAGTCCAAAATTTTAATGACCCCAAAATATTCAGAACTGGCCCTCACCCCAACCCACCTACGTCCCATGAGAGAGAGAGAGAGAGTGCAGCCTTGGTCCCACGACTGCATGCAGCCTATCTATCTCCCCCTCAAATACCAGACTGTCCTGTGACCTGTGAATTTCTTCTGTTTTGGGTAGGATATTAATAAGGCACCAGGAATTTTTCTCAGATTGTTAGTTGAATGATTTATTAATGGAGATGTTCTTCTACTTCCCCTAGATGTGAGGAATGCCTGGAGATTCTCATCAACACGGGGCGTCTGCCAGAAGCTGCATTCTTTGCCAGGACATATTTGCCATCTCAGATCTCGCGGTAATTGCTTCGCCATGTCTTTAATAATTTTGTTGTCAGTGTCATAAATATCTAAAATGTCATTGATTTTTTTGACATTCTACAAAATGCTTGCTACATCAAAATTATGATGAAGTTTGATTTCAAAATCTTTTTTTTTTTTTCTATCCATTAAATTTGTCAGAAATTCTGCAATATACTGACAAAATTATCGTTGTCTTCTTCTTCTTCTTCCTCTTCCTTCTTCATTCTTCTTTATTTTCTTCCTCCTCCTCCTTCCTTCTTCACAATCACTGGCTGTAAACTCCAGTGGAAAGTTCTGGTTGCTCATCCACTTCTGGATTTTAGTCTTATATATATGCACATCTATTTTACAGATCTGGCTTTTTTGTATGCAGACTGTTAGTTCCTTACCTCTCAGGTAGATGAACTCCACCTTCGAAGGAAACATTCCTAATTAGTCAACTCTTGCGACATGCAGTGGGTCTATTCTGTTTTCTCAATTGGTGCCCCAGAACCCACACGGGGAGGTCACACTGAAACACTGGAATGTTTATACTCTTATCTAGCACAGTAGCTACACATCTTTTGGCTTGTATAATTAAATAAAGCACAATCCGGTTAGATCAGGTCTTCTTGACCTGCCAGTCACGACCCTTTTTTGGGGTCAAACTACCCTTTTTGACAGGGGTCACCTAAGACCATTGGCAAACACATATTCATTCAAGTTTTGAAGGACAATAATTGATTGGGGGTCAAGGGAACTGTATTAAAGGGTCGCGGCATTAGAAAGGTTAAGAGCCACTGGGCTAGAAGAATAAACTGCAGCAATAATTCAAGCTTTTCATGGTTTCTGTAATGTTGATGTGATGGCATAGATCACTAGAAGAGTTTAAGTAGAAGAAACGAACAAATTCTGTGATGTTGGATGTGATGGCATAGATCACAAGAAGAGTTCAAGTAGAAGAAACAAACAAATTCTGTGATTTTGGATGTGATGGCATAGATCACTAGAAGAGTTTCAGTAGAAGAAACGAACAAATTCTGTGATTTTGGAGGTGTTGGCATAGATCACTAGAAGTGTTCAATTAGAAGAAACAAATTCTGTGATGTTGGATGTGATGGCATAGATCACTAGAAGAGTTCAAGTAGAAGAAACAAACAAATTCTGTGGGGAAATAAGGTTCTAGTTCAGATTTGCATTCTATTATTTCAGGGTGGTGTCCTTGTGGAAGAACCAGGTCAAGGCCATCAACAAGAAATCTGCAGATTCTTTGGCTGACCCGGCTGAGTACGAGAATCTCTTCCCAGGTCTCAGGGAGGCCATCAAGGCAGAGCAGTACCTGAAGCCACAGAGAGAGAAGGTGCTACCTGCTGCGGCATTCAGCAAAGTTCCTGTATGTTATTAATTTGGATTATTTATGTCTTATTGTTAAGTGATAACTAGTTTGGCTATTAAAAGTCCAACTGGCAAGTTGGGTGCTTACTGTTTACTATTTGCATAATTTGTGCTTGCAAAAGAGGGGGGGGGGGGGGGGGGGGGGGGGGGGGGGGGGGGGGGGGGGGTGGGGGTGGCTGATCACACATGGTGCAGCAGAAGCAGGGCTCATACTGGTCAAGATTTATCTGCACATTCTGGCAGTCATCCTAGAAACAGGAGCTTGGTTGTTGTTGTAGGCAGGAATGACACTTCCTTCTCAGCTGGAGTTCATCCGTTTGAAGGGCAAGGTGCCAGCAGTCTGCACACAAATAACAAGAAAAGATATAAAAACGGAATGAAAAGTATATCAGGACACAAAACATGAACGTTGCAACTATCGAACCTTCATCAGCACAAAAATAAAATAATACCGTTTCGGTATACATCGCTTTGGTAAAGATTCAATTTGTTATACGTCCTGCTTAGTATACAACATTTGTTTGGAATATGAACTTATATGAGACAAAATTAGTCACGACACATGCTATCTTTGTTTAACTCTCTCGAGACAAAGCCACACACAGAGGTCAGTGACTTTGTAGAGAAGTTTCACCCCAACAAAATCAAAACAAGCCATAATAGTATGGTCAGGAATGACCAGACAGGGTCACATTTCTGAAATATCCTGAGGAGAAGACAGGAGCAAATATCTTCGGGCAGATTTTATTTTTAGTAAAAGTCAAACCTGATGGACTTAACCAGGTCCAAGTAGTGAAAAGAGACAGAAGAAAAGAGACAGAAGAAAGAAACACAAACATTTCAGATTCCTGAAGTTTTATTGAAAGTGTACTCTCCATCCAAACAATAACATCTCCTACTCCTCCCTTCTCAGTCCCATCCTAGTAGGCACTCCACCTTTCTCAGCAAGGTAAAGTGAGCTTAAACTTTCAGTTATTTTATAAGATTGCTCTTATATGTATTATTTCAGTATTAGGCAGCAAATCTATATTTTATACAACCGTTTCAAGTGCAGATAAATAAATAATAATAATGACCTGTGTAAAATAGTTTTTTTTTTTTTTTTTTAAACAGCGCCCTCCCCCCCAGGAAGTCCCTGGCCCATAGTTTTTTTTAGCATTTGTGTTGTGAAAGGGTTAAAGAGCCGTGGTTTTTATCCACCCCAACCCCCGCAAATAAAATGTTGCACCCTAGAATCTACTTAAGAAACTCATATCAGCATGGGTGTATGCCACTGATGAATCTGCTTTACCTGATTGTATGTGGTTGTTTCCCTAGAGCAACTCTGAAAGGAATCCTGTAGAGGAGATGCAGCAGGCGGAGCAGAGGGGAACGTTTGTCTTTGCTGCCCCAGTGACAAAAGATGATGATGATGATGAACAAGATGACGATAACTTTGAAGAGGCAGTTGAAACACCAACAAAGAAGGTAAGACAAATTTCTATTTCTTCGTGGCTATTGGCGTGGACATGTGGTTGGACGTTCAAAAAATAATTTATAAACAATTTTATATTTTTTTTAACTATTTATAAACAAGGCAAACAATATCTGGAGGCCTCGGAGTTGTGATTTTACAGAAGAATCCTTAGAATTCCTTGGATAGCCAGAACAAAAAAAAAACAGCAATTCAAATGTTTTGAAAAGGGTGATGGCTCGAAGACAACTTATCGCAAACTCAGAGAAGAAGGCAACGAACATGTTGTGATCACTGGAAAGATTTGTGGGAAAAGAGACAGGAAGACATTGTGAGAAGATTCTTGACAGCTTTTTGTCATGGCATGGAGGGGTGTCAGCACACAAACTGATGCCTACAGTTGGAGATTGCAGGTTGTGGAGAGGCATGATCACCCACGCCAGTCGACAAGGCACTTGATGATGATGGACAAGTATCATCATCATGTGCCAAGCTGAGCAGGAAACGCGAGCATATGTTTCATTGCTTTTTGTATTATGTGTTGATGATAAGCTCAGTCTGTTACTGTCTTCGTCTTCCATTTTCTTCTTTCATGAAGCTGTGAGTCTTCTCAGTTGTCACAATCCAAACTTCTATCTTCATTTGCCCTCAATCTTCCCACCTGTAACAATCCAGATTTTCCCTGTGTGGGTACCTGGGTCCTATTGTAGGGAAAACAAGAATAGACCCACCTCCTACTCAAAAGCATGTGGTAAGAGTCGACTGATTGGGGGCTTCCTTCGAAGTTGGAGTACATCTGCCTGAGAGGCAAGGTACCAACAATCTGCATACAAATGGGGCAGATTTTGACAAACGGATGTTGATGCAACACTCAGGTTCTGGGGCAAGACTAACATCTAGAGATGGGCGAACAACCAGAACTTTCCGCCAGTATTTTACCCTCCAAATCTTCCCACTTGTCACAACCCAAACCTCTTTGGTTTGATTTGGCTGCTGATAATTTGGCAGCAGACTGCTTTTTGTTGATTTTGACAATGCATCGGCTTATCAGTAAGCGGATCTGCGCACCAGACAGAGCATGCAATGTAGGAGTGAAAGGTAATGAACGAGCTGACCAGTTGGCAAATAGTGTACCATTGCATAGTTGGCAAATAGTGTACCATTGCATAGTTGGCAAATAGTGTACCATTGCATAGTTGGCAAATAGTGTACCATTGCATATTTGGCAAATAGTGTACCATTGCATAGTCGGCAAATAGTGTACCATTGCATAGTTGGCAAAAAGTGTACCATTGCATAGTTGGCAAATAGTGTACCATTGCATAGTTGGCAAATAGTGTACCATTGCATATTTGGCAAATAGTGTACCATTGCATAGTCGGCAAATAGTGTACCATTGCATAGTTGGCAAATAGTGTACCATTGCATTCGGAGCGAGCATGAACAGAGCTGAAATCAAGGCATTACACACTAGTCTGATGGATAGTGATGAATCTCTGATGGTAGCACGGTTACCTGAGGTGAAGCACGTCCATGCCGTCTTTGAAGCGAAGACAGGAGATATCGAAACAAACTGCTAATGGGAACAGTTACCTTGGTGGATGCGCATGCAGGGTCACTAATTGTACAAACATAACATATATTCTTCATTTTGCCTTTCTAGCCCCCAGTGGAGCATAGGTCCTCAACCAACTCACACCAGGTCGTTCTATCCTTCGCTGTCGCATGCAGCTCTCCCCATGTCCTCCTCATCTTTTCAACTTCACTCTCTTGCTAAAAAGGAATTTTACATTCAGCTTCAAAATATTATAAATAATGAAAGAAAGTGCAATATAAAAATTGTGATGAGTGACCTGAATGTTAAGACAGGATCAGATAACACAGGTTGTGAAGAGATTATAGGGTGCTTTATTAATATCCTACCCCAAACAGGTGAAATCGGCAGGTCACAGGACAGTAATATTTCAGAGGGTGGTAGATAGGCTGCATTCAGTTGTGGGACCTAGGCTGCACCTCTTGTGGGACATAGGTGAGTTGGGGCTAGGGCCAGTTCTACATGTTTTGGGGTCATTAAAAGCATCAGAAAGTCAGGAAACCCAGTCTTACCACCCTCTAAAATTATGGACTGTCCTATGAAGTCATCTGGGGTAGGATATTAATAAAGATCCGACCAGCACACAAAAATGTGACTAAAAATAGGAAGAAAAAAAAAAGAAAAGAATCCAAAGTACTGTTAGCAAGAACTTGGAGACAAACAGGCATATAATTCCAAGTGTCAAGTGATGATAGAAACCGTCACCAACAACTGGTAATTGAATGTCCAAATATCAATTTGATGGTTGACAGTGTTTTGTCTGGATGATATCTGCTATTTTTGGTCCGATGATATACAGGGTACAATGGATATCACTCTCCATGTCAAGCTGGCAGCCCTATTTTGTTTTCATGACTGTTTAGCTTTAACAGTGACACTCCCCTTATTATGACCACTGCCCCAAAGTATGGTTCCAGGGTTAGGCACACATTCAGGCTACACAAATAACCTGTCTGCTTGTCACTGATTTCAGCAACTGTCCAAAAAAGAAGAACCTGTTGAACCCCAGCCATCAGCGGCACCGGCTGTGATCAGACCTGCACCAGAAGCAACTCCACCGCCTCCAGTGGCAGACCTGCCACCAGCACAGCCTGAGCCTCAACAGCTGGTGGATGATTTTGAGAAGGAGCTTGAGCTGGACCTAGAAAATGTCACTATTGAGGATATTGAAGCTGCAGTAAGTTTGGTTTGGTTTTCATTGTTGTGTATGTAGGCTTAAAGTTCATGAATTGTTTCCATTGTCTCTGGATGTCATTGTTGCTGTAAGTCTGCTGTCCCTGGATGTCAGTGTTGCTGTAAGACTGCTGTCCCTGGATGTCAGTATTGCTGTAAGTCTGCTGTCCCTGGATGTCAGTGTTGCTGTAAGTCTGCTGTCCCTGGATGTCAGTGTTGCTGTAAGTCTGCTGTCCCTGGATGTCAGTGTTGCTGTAAGTCTGCTGTCCCTGGCTGTCAGTGTTGCTGTAAGTCTGCTGACCCTGGATGTCAGTGTTGCTGTAAGACTGCTATCCCTGGATGTCAGTGTTGCTGTAAGTTTGCTGTCCCTGGATGTCAGTGTTGCTGTAAGACTGCTGTCCCTGGATGTCAGTGTTGCTGTAAGACTGCTGTCCCTGGATGTCAGTGTTGCTGTAAGTCTGCTGTCCCTGGATGTCAGTGTTGCTGTAAGACTGCTGTCCCTGGATGTCAGTGTTGCTGTAAGACTGTTGTCCCTAGATGTCATTATTTCTGCAAGTCTGCTGTCCCTGGATGTCAGTGTTTCTGTAAGTCTGTTGTCCCTGGATGTCAGTGTTGTGCTGTAAGTCTCCTGTCACTGCATGTCAGTGTTTCTGTAAGTCTGCTGTCCCTGGATGTCATTGTTTCTGTAAGTCTGCTGTGTTTTCCTGGATGTCATGTTGCTGTAAGTCTGTTGTCCTTGGATGTCAGTGTTGCTGTAAGTCTGCTGTCCCTGGATGTCAGTGTTTCTGTAAGTCTGTTGTCCCTAGATGTCATTATTTCTGTAAGTCTGCTGTCCCTGGATGTCAGTGTTTCTGTAAGTCTGTTGTCCCTGGATGTCTATAATTAAATGTCTATGTTATAAAAATTAGATTGTTAACTGTTGAATTAAAATGCTTATTAAAAAAATGCTCTTGGCTGTTTGTTTTGTAACTAGTTTTTAAAATATTTTATTTAATTTACAAATTTTTTTTAATGGATTATTAAAAATAACCTTCTTGCGCCCCCCTCTCCCACCCACCCCACCCTTCAGTTGGATACTGCTGGTATAAAGCATATTTTTGATTCAAGTTTTGTGTGTATAGAGTTTAAAAGCTACAAACAGAATATTTCCCTCTTCTCATCTGAGATTGTAGGAGAGGAATGACTGAACAAAAATTCACATTTATATCCCCATGATGGCAGAGACAGTTCTTTTGATTTCTTTCTCCAGGAGATGAATCTGGATGAAGACGACTTGTTACAGGACTGAGGTCATCATGTGAGGGTCAACTTTCTCAAAGTTTCCAGAATTTATTCACATTCTAGCAGTCTTTTTTTTTTTTTTTTACTTCACCCTGATGGTGAAATTTGGTTGTATATTGGGTTAACTGTTCATTATGTTACGGATGATTGTATGATATAGATAATATTACAGTGGCGAAATAGAACTTCATCTCATTTCCAGTTAGTGTACATTTTGGCTTGGATCAATGTTCAATGTTCATTTAAAGATCATCGCAAATCGGACATGACTATGAGTGCTCCAATTTCATCCTGAGTATGCCTTTACGTGTTTTTAGGCTAACAACTCCCATTCTCTTCTGGTTGGTTCAACGATGGGTGGCTCCCGCATGGTTTTCCTGTCTCGCTGCTCCAGTTGGTACACCTATGGTATGCAGTCTATTCAGTGAGAAGTTATTTTCCACAAAACTGAAAGCCTCACAGCATTAAGTCTCTCCTATGGCGATGATGATGTCTCTCCTGTCCATAGAGGACCCATTTCTGATAGTTGCACTGCCAGCCAGGGAGTCTGCTCTCTCATTGCCTTTCACACCAGCATGCCCTGGAACAAAATGAAGGTGATTTTTGCGAAACGCTGCGTGCTGTATCAGATGGAGCCACTGTTTCAGTATATGCCCTGCTTGGATCTTCTATAGCCTGCTCATTGAGTTGCTGAGAAAACACGCATTGGTGAATTCCTGAGTTTTCAGCCATTCTAGGCTTTGGTAAAGGGGGAAGTTTTATTGCATGTGGATACCTCCCGAAGTCTGCTTCCAACTTTGCTGAAATCAGATGTGGGGGGGGAGGGGGGGGGGAAAAAGGTGAAGATATGACAACCTAACTAATTCACATCACAGTGTGCCAGTCATCTGTTTCTTTTTTTTAAAGAGCAAATGCTGAGCAAGGAAAAGTTTATCTCAACAAGGTTGAACAGAAAACTTTTTTCCCATGGCAACATGTGGATGTGAATCATGGACCATTTCAGTTATTGATGAAGAAATCTGAAGCTTTTAAATGTCAAAGGTCAAGCTCTAAAGGTTTCTTCCTGCTCTGTTCAAATTCTCAACAATCTTCGGAGACTGCACATCTCTGCTTCCTTCAGCTTGTTCACCTTTCGCTACTCACTGTCCAGCAGGAGGTTGCTCTACAATGTTGTACTAAAACCTGCAGCCATGAGGCTGATTCCATTCCACTATGCCTGATCATCAGGTTTTTTTTTTTTAGCAGATACCAGTACTATTTTATAATGTTTTTTTTAAAATTTGTTTCTTACGTCAAATTTTAAAACATTCTTAGGAAAGTCTAGGTTCATATTGAGAGATAACTTACTTAGTCAATCCTCTTCTATTATGGGGTGTAGAGGTTTGCCACAGAGATCGCCAGACTTCTCTATCAGCAGTTTTTTTCTGGCTTTGTTCCATTCCATTCCTCTGTCAGTCAGGGACTGTCGGATGTTGTCTTCCCAGCAGACCCTGGGTCGCCCTGAAAGTCTGGTTCCCTGGTTCTTAGCCTCCCATGGTGGTCAATTTTCTCCCATTCTGCATACATGTCAAAAGCGTCATAACTGTGACTGATATACTTGAGTTTGTAAGGCCTGAGTTTCGAGATCTTGACGTATTGTTTGATTGCGAACTTTATCCCTTCTTGTCACTTGGAACACCTCCTTTCTCAGATATCTCAATTTTGATGCCTAAAGCTGGCTTCTGTAAGCTGTTGTCATGGCCTGGAAGTCAGGACTGGCACATAGGTAGAGCGGTAGACAGCCATTTTCGTCCTCTTGCCAGTTTCTCCCTTGCTAAGAAACTCCTATCACATATTGAGAGATGAACATATAATTAAATCTGTTTTATTGAAATTTCAGTGTATCTTTAAAGTTGTTTCATGAGAATGGAAGGGTAATTTTTCCCAGTGTTAGTTCTATTAAACATGTCATAAGTTTACTATCAATGGATTACTTTTGTTGACAAATGATTTATGAGGATACATTGTTCTCTTATTTTTTGTTAATATAAAATCCTTGAAATTGTTGCCCAGTGTCATGTCATCATTAATGTTAGGATTATTGAAATGTATACTGTCCCAGCAAGAACGTTTGTACAGGATCTCATTACTGATATATTTACTTTCTAGTGTAAAAAAATTAAAAGGCAGTTTTAAATGAAAACCTTAAAAGTGTGAAAGAAGCTACAGAAATCATGCCATTAACCTGTCAGTGTCCTTGTTAAATATGTTAACAGTGTTAAGTACCCGACATCACTGAGCAGAAAACACGGTGATGTAAAAATGACTGAAATGGGAAACAGATGGGGCGTCCAGGAGAAATCTTAAACAAAAATGTTGTTAGAAGCCAAAAGATGATGGACTGGATTCCATCAGTGATGTTGAGAGAACTGCACAGAATGGAATGGAATGGAGAAATAAGACTGTGAGCTGTATGTGATATATGATGGCACAGCAGGAGGATAATGATGAGGGATCAGAGTCATGTCTAGACTTAGTCTAGACTTGTTAATGTGTTGACGCTCCAGACAAAAGGTCAGTGGCTTGTGAGTTGAGAATTTCATGTTGAAGACTTAGTCTAGACTTGTCAGACTGGATTCCATCAGTGATGTTGAGAGAACTGCACAGAATGGAATGGAATGGAGAAATAAGACTGTGAGCTGTATGTGATATATGATGGCACAGCAGGAGGATAATAATGAGGGATCAGAGTCATGTCTAGACTTAGTCTAGACTTGTTAATGTGTTGACGCTCCAGACAAAAGGTCAGTGGCTTGTGAGTTGAGAATTTCATGTTGAAGACTTAGTCTAGACTTGTTAATGTCTTTAACGCTCGAGATAAAAGATCGGGGGCTTGTGAGTTGAGAATTTCATGTTTAAGACATTGTAGATTTATAATATTTTGAATGTTCAGAACAATAAATGTGTTTCAAGAATATACACGCAGTGTTGTTATGGATTAACTTACTTGAATCATGTTTTCAGTTCAGTATTTGATGTTGAGAAAAACGGAGGTGTTTTTTTTTAACTCAGTGTTTAGTGAAAATTTTTCACAGTGGAGTTCTGGGTCTCTATTTTGGAGAACAAAGAATAGATCCACTGCACCCCCTAATATTGCACCCTTTAACACTGCACCCCTAACATTGCACCACTTACACTGCACCCCCTAACACTGCACCCTTAACATTGCACCACTTACACTGCACCCCTAACACTGCGCCACCTAACATTGCACCCCTAACACTGCGCCACCTAACATTGCACCACTTACACTGCACCCCTAACACTGCGCCACCTAACATTGCACCACTTACACTGCACCCCCTAACATTGCACCCTTTAACACTGCACCCCTAACATTGCACCACTTACACTGCACCCCTAACATTGCACCACTTACACTGCACCCCTAACATTGCACCCTTTAACACTGCACTTACACTGCACCCCTAACACTGCGCCACCTAACATTGCACCACTTACACTGCACCCCTAACACTGCGCCACCTAACATTGCACCACTTACACTGCACCCCCTAACACTGCACCCCTAACATTGCACCACTTACACTGCACCCCTAACACTGCGCCACCTAACACTGCGCCACCTAACATTGCACCACTTACACTGCACCCCCTAACACTGCGCCACCTAACATTGCACCACTTACACTGCACCCCTAACACTGCGCCACCTAACATTGAACCACTTACACTGCACCCCTAACACTGCGCCACCTAACATTGCACCACTTACACTGCACCCCCTAACATTGCACCCCTAACACTGCGCCACCTAACATTGCACCACTTACACTGCACCCCTAACACTGCACCACCTAACATTGCACCACTTACACTGCACCCCCTAACACTGCGCCACCTAACATTGCACCACTTACACTGCACCCCCTAACACTGCACCCCTAACATTGCACCACTTACACTGCACCCCTAACACTGCGCCACCTAACATTGCACCACTTACACTGCACCCCCTAACACTGCGCCACCTAACATTGCACCACTTACACTGCACCCCTAACACTGCGCCACCTAACATTGCACCACTTACACTGCACCCCCTAACACTGCACCCCTAACATTGCACCACTTACACTGCACCCCTAACACTGCGCCACCTAACATTGCACCACTTACACTGCACCCCTAACACTGCGCCACCTAACATTGCACCACTTACATTGCACCCCCTAACACTGCACCCTTTAACATTGCACCCCTAACATTGCACCACTTACACTGCACCACTTACACTGCACCACTTACACTGCACCCCTAACATTGCACTCACTAAAACTGCACCCTTTAACATTGCACCACTAACACTGAGAATCCAAATATGAAAGTGTTTTTAACCCTTTGGAGACAGAGCTTTTAATAAATAATAGAAATGCATCAAACATACAGCAAGTTAGAAGCTACGGAGGAGCTGAGTGCCATAGTGACCCTACCTGGTTGGGGCATAATTAAAAATCAAGCTTAAAGAGATCTTTGATAATGGTTGGGGCATATTGGGAGAATGTCAAATGACAGAGAAGTGAAAAATGGTATACACAAGGGAGATGAATGATGGTAGACCACGAGGCAGACCAAGAAGACGATGGAGAGATAATATCCAGACATACCTACAAACACCAACTGGAAAGAGAAGGCCAACCACAGAGATGAATGGAGGCAGGTGAGATCTACAGTAATGAATGAACCTCAAGAGCTTGGAATGCTGACAAAGAAGAAGATGCTATTTACCAGTTCTGTGCCATGACAGCAGCACACCTACATATAAACTGAGGTAAAGAGACAATCATGAACAAAATGAGGCAAGCAGAAAAGTGATTTCTAGAACAAACTGAGGTAAACTGTGAATTCTAGAACAAAATGAGGTAAACAGACAAGCAGGTAAACTCTAGAATAAAATGAAGTAAACAGAACTTCAGAACAAACTGACATAAACAGTAAATCCTAAAA